GTTTAATTTAATTAATTTAGTTTGTATTATAAGTGTGTATTTTGGATTTTCAAAATTGTCTTCATATATCTAGTATTAAATTAACAAAAATTGGCCGAGGGTTATGTCGGGAGGTGTACCGGGGTGAAGTATTAATCATCCATAACATTTTGTCGTAAATCTACATGTATATTATTAAATCGTGTACGTAACATTCAAAAAACTTTAATCATTATCAGTCAACTTAATTTGTTACTAATGAATATTCATAGTCATGATATTTAACAAGTGTTGAAGTCACGTCAAGTCAAGTAAAACATTAGCATAGACTTATAAACATGATTGTGATAAAATGCGGAGAGTTAGTATCTTTAGTAAATAAACAAAGCCGGTGAGCATGCCGTAGGAGGGACACTGTAAAATTCCACTCAATTTATGAATTACCCATATTAACAAGTACATGTGTATATTTGACTAAAGCGTCCCAGCACGTCACACCTTTATCGTTTCAACGTCACTGACTTCAAATTACTTGCCACTTACCGATGCGGCGGGTTCGAGTAATGCGAAGAAGCCATCCAGCTAGCTTACTGAATGTCGGTGGTTCTACTCAGATACTTGCTCGTGCCTGAAATATTGCACGACAAGGTACCTTAAGCACTCATCTGCAAGTCGCTATAATTATGGCTTTTATAGAGTCGGAAAACTTTTAATGAAAAGCGTTCACACAAGCGTTGAACATTTCTACCTTTTAGATCAAGACAGGCAGATTTATTGCCCTAAATAAGAACATTCCTTTCATGAGGAAACCATTTTGTACTGTTTGTCCATGTAACGTCATTGCTCTGGCATGTATAAAGCTTATGGAGCAATGTCTTTCATGATTCTCATGCATGGAGTTCTTATTAACGTGTTATGGTCTACCTTTGAACAATATATATTTTGCTTCTGAAATACGTAGTCTTTACACGCAATTTATGGAATTAAGAAAAAAATAAAAATGACGTAAGCGACACATTTTAATATTGATATATAACGTCTTAAGTGGTTCTTGATAACTAATATATGTCACAAACCGACCGTTTTAAAAATCATTGTTATATCAATGCTTAAATGACTGGCGGCTTGATCGAGCGGTTAACGCGTCCAACTATTAATCTATAAGGAATACTGACCGCGTGGGCTCAAACCCTAACAGAGGCAAGCCGTTGTTTCCATGCGAAATAAACTTTACACTCATTGCTTCGTCCTGGTTTGTTGCCAGGAACGAATTCGAGAGTATTTTAATAAGTTTATAGCTTTAAACCATGCATTTGACTATATTTTTGAGTATTTTCTGTATTTCTTCCCAATAAAACAATTTTACGTATAAATTCACGGTAGTTTTGATGTTTTCCGTTATTCCTAACCTGCTTCCTAAATTAAGAAACAATTATTATTATAACGAACATGTTTCATGAAATTACGAAAAACTACTTACAATCGTGGCGCGCATTAATCCAAGGTAGAAAAAGTCCGAAAATAATGAACGTTACTGTCCGGGACGCCATTGTGTTTTGATAAAACATATGACGATATTCAATACAGGTTACCGTATCTTAAAGGACTGAGATTTACGATGCAAGTAAATAAACAAATAAAGGGTATTCAAAAGCGAGGCTTATCAGCAATTCTGAATTTATTGCCCGTACACGTGATGTGAGTAATGCCAGTACACAAATTCTTTTTATAGGAATATATGTCACGTAAAACATACAACAAGAGTGCATTAACTGTGACAATGAATAAATCTGAAAATTATGTGATATTTAATTCTTAAACATGCACCATAAACTCATTATTATTATTATTATCAGTTGATAATGATGATGATGATGATGATGATGATGGTGGAGTGGTGGTGGTAGTGATGATGCCGACGACTATGATGATGTTAATTATTAATGATGAAGGTATCATCATCATCATATCTTCATTATCATCATTATCATCATCTAATCATCATCTTAATTGTCATCATAATCATCTTAATTGTCATAACTTCATCATCATCATCGACATCAACAACAAGAGCAACGACAACACTATTCTTGTCATCATCATCATCATTATCTTTATTGTCATCATCATCATCAACATATTCTTCTTCTTCATCTTCTTCCTCTTCTTCCACTTAATCATCTTTATCATCATCATCTTCTTCTTCAGCATCATCATCATCATCATCATAAAAATCATCATCATCATCATCTTCTTCTTCTTCTTTTTCTTCTCCTCCTTCTTCATCATCATCATCATCATCTTCATCTTTATCATCGTCATCATCTCCATCATCATCACCTTTATTGTCACCATATCCATCATCATCATTCCTCTTCTTGCAGCCTTCTGTTCTTCATTATATCTTTTCTATAGTTTATAGATTCGGAAGAAAAAATTATATATAGGGTACTTTAGATACTTAAATTTGTTGAGGTTCAGTTTTATAGTTCTGGGGTGTTAGATAAGAATTTGGAGTTTTATTGGACTGGGTTTTATTGTGTGTATTTATTGTCGATATATGTTTTAATTCAGAGCGTTGTTCGACAGAGATCTTAATATATCCCGGTGTATCTAAAGTTTAGATATACTTAAATAAGTCTTGCATGCATTGCGTAGCGTTAATTTTGAGCTGTCTTAATTACATTGTCATATATATCTATTCTATGTTCCGTCCAATATATGATAAATGAACCGACTTCATTTCTTCATTCTTCAAAGGCTGGAACAAACAGAATATGTGCTTTTTATTTTAGCATTACAGTTGACAATAAGTCGGCATTGCTAATGCAATTGGTAAAACTCAATCGGAACACATCGACACTACAATAGAGTGAACTAGTTCTACCACGTGACTTGATGCAAAATATACCGCAGTGTGTTTTTTTAATGATGGGTAACAACGACATCTGCCGAATGTTTTTAAAGTAAAAATATCCTATGTATATGTTAGTGTTCATCCGAAACAGAAACTTGACGGAAGCGATAGCTTTTTGTAGTACAGCTACGGATGAAAACTAACATATTTAGTGTCAAGTTTTATTTGTCCTTTATAACGTCACAACCTTTTTTACAAACGCATGCATTTCTATGAATCACTATGAAAAATAGAAGGCGAATATGAGCGGAATTTGATATAGTATCTCTGAAAATTAACACACATAGTTTTTAAGAAATACAGCGTTTTCATTGGCTGACAAGTAAAGCTGGACTTTGATTTAAAAATATGCCTGAAAACCAAAAGTAGTTTTAAAATACACACTGTCATACAATAATAATAAAATATTGTCGTTCCAGTTTTAACGAATATATAATCAAGATGGCATATGTATTTTAATATGAACTGTTTACTTTCATAACTATAAATTTATCTAATTCAGATGAACCTTTACATCATAGTTATGGAATAAATTAAGTCAACAACTTCCACCATTTACTTACTTTTTTACAACAATGTTAAAGTTTTACATTAATACATTAATACCGTATCCTTAGTATTGTGTTCGAGGTCCTTATCCGAAAATTGAAAGTTGCGAATGTACATGTATATGAAACGGTATTGTACACATTTGTAAGGTTTGATTTAATAAACAATTATTATGTTGTTGATGTAAATGTATTAATAGAAAGATAAAATACTTTTAGCTTAACCTTTACTTACATACACAATGTATTGATTTCAACGGAAAAATGGTTGGAATAGCTTAAATGCGTTGACACTGAATGGAACGTGAGGGGAGATAAATGGAACGGAATGGAATGGAACCTATTCCACTGTTCCACATGCTATGTTTTCATAATAACTCTAAGAAAACAAATATATTAAGCTATGGGTTAGTGTGTTATAAATTAAAAAAAAAACAGTAACACCGACATCTGAATAATAATCTAATGCCCAAGATTTTGAAAAAATAACGTTCCGGAAATAACCGTTTTGCTACGATATTAGAATATTTGGCGGGAAAGCATTACCTAAGACTATGCTTGTATGTTTTATTCTGGTTTGGAATTGGGGGAGTTGCAGTTACCTCTTCTAGTTACAGCCTGTCCTCTCTCAGATAAATTCCTTCCTTAACCACGCAAACCAGAGTAATTGCAATAAAAAAAATCTTATTTGTATATGCTTAATTGTATTTTTTAGCAAGTGAAAAGGTGTGCAATATATATGTCGAAATATTGTAAAGGATATTGTTTTGTTATTTGTAAACCTATTTCATAAAACTCATGAAATTCTGCATACAAGATTGGAATAAATTGAATTTACACAAACGCTATGACGATCTGTTGTATATTTTATAGGAGCATTATGGGAACGCTTGGACAGACCTCGTATGGAGAAGCGTAAAATGTCAAGGGCTCGAATTCTTCTGTCCATTTTCTGCTTGGTTGCTCAAGTATAAAATTTAAATCATATTTAAGCATTACTTACTATCATAAGCCATAATTATCTTAGATATAATCTGAACCTATTTAAATCTTGCGGGAGTTTCAGTTTCGACATTTTACGCGATACATTTATCGCTGCATGTATTCATCGATATATCGATGGATATATCGCTGGCTATAATAGCTTAGCAGCCGTATCATTTACTTTGATTTACTATAAAATATGTTATATATTGTACGCATTCGGCTTTACTATTCCACAAAACCTGTATAAACTATGGTGGTTATTTAAACTTTCCTGCGTTGAGGGATGTACATGTACAGTGTTTATAAGAAGATAGAAAACCTCAAATAAAAGCATGTGTTTTTGGATAAAATCAAATATTTATGAAAATAAATAACCAATTTCCGTTTGTTTAGTAATTACAAGTGTTTTCAACTGGTTTTTAGCTATAAAATCTGCAATTCTGATATAAATATCTGTGTTATTTGAATGCGTTATCACTATTCTGTTGTTAAAAGATTTCAAGCTGAAAGGAAAATGTAACTTGATTTGTGTAGCACCAGAGTGAATAAAATGAATACAAGTACGAAAATACGATGAAAATGAAATTTTTTTATAAAACATTACAAAATGATATATATCACAGCTTTTTCCAATTACCCATATTTTTTACCCATTAAGATACAAAATGTTAATTCTGAATATATTTACGTAGTCTGTTATTGTCCAGTATAAAACTAAGAGGCAGTTTTACACATGAATTAAAAATGATGCAAGTTTATCAACTGTTCGCTTATTGTTATGGGATACATTTTGTTCTTGATGTTTCCCTAGATATTGAGGTACAAGCTTTTGTGAGTCACACAGGTTAGACATATTCTTATAGTCATTCAGTAGCTCTTATATTGAATATTTCATAACATTGTATCGTGATGACGTAGTTTACATATGACGTTGTTTTGTTATGAAGGCACATTGTAAGTGCCTGCAGCACTTTGATTATTGATGTTGTTGTCAGACGGTACAGTTGGATACATGGCAGAGCTGGCAGGATACGGCGAACCCTGATTTTGTATAGTGACAGACTGTTGTTGTCCCGGGGGTATGTTGTAATTCACTCCGTACATAGGCTGATTCACTCCGTACATAGGTTGACTGTATCGGTTCTGGTCCTGTGCGGTATATACAACAACAGGTGCACCTGTATTCTGCAATAAACGAGAGAAAAAATCTGATCTGTTAATTTTGTATAATACGGGCATTAGAGTCCTTGGTATTGACTTACACAACAAGTCATAAAAGTACCATTAAACTATTTATCTGTAAATGAAAGGTTATGTTACTGTATTAGATTAATATTTTTGAATAGATTTTTTAACGAGAGAGCCGTATGAAATGTTCTTGCATAGCAGACTGTCGTTTCGCGAGCTTTACCCTTGCCGGAACTATCTGCCTAGGATGACATCATTTTGTCGTTGTTATTAAAGTTGTAAATTCATACGCTATTGAAAGAAAATAGTTATGGATGAATTGACATTAATTTCCATGAACAAATATCTTATTGAGACAAACCACTTTAAATATGAAATATGTGGCAAAATATGCAAGAAAAAATATCTGACATCAGATCGGAATATCCCCGCCCATGGTTATTTTTTTCTATTTTATTCCTAAATACATACCTACAAATTGTTCATCGTTTGACACTTTTAACCTTGTATTTGTTACAAAAAACGGCCTACTTTCACTTTACCTCAATTCAATGATTGCTAACAATTGGTATTTATATTATAAACAAAAGGATTAATGGAAAACAATGGAAAACACTTAAGGAAAAACTATCAAATGATTCCAAGCTTATGCGTCCATTTGCAACCATTTCATTCGATCATTGTCCCTTGATTAACTCATAATTAATCCAATTTAATATAACTATTGGCTTTCCCTCGGCAAAATAGTAAGACATAAGAAAAGAAATTCACACAACATTATATACATGAAGTACTAGGAATATTGTAAAAATAAATACAAAGTTTGTTGAAAAAAATACCATAACGCCAGACTCTTTCCAATCATTCTCCTACTGTGTGTTTATTATACACGTAGCCTTATTTCCCCTGATAGATATCAGTTACTTGTTAAATAAAAAAGAAGATGAGTAACTTGTAAACTAACCAGACACTACCTCAAGAAAACAAGCCAAAAATATATTACTTAGTTGATTTTACGAAGGTATCTAGAAGCCTAAAGTAAATAAATAAATAAATAAATAAATAAATAAATAAATAAATAAATAAATAAATAAATAAATAAATAAATAAATAAATAAATAAATAAATAAATAAATAAATAAATAAATAAATAAATAAATAAATAAATAAATAAATAAATAAATAAATAAATAAATAAATAAAAATAAATAAATAAATAAATAAATAAATAAATAAATAAATAAATAAATAAATAAATAAATAAATAAATAAATAAATAAATAAATAAATAAATAAATAAATAAATAAATAAATAAATAAATAAATAAATAAATAAATAAATAAATAAATAAATAAATAAATAAATAAATAAATAAATAAATAAATAAATAAATAAATAAATAAATAAATAAATAAATAAATAAATAAATAAATAAATAAAAACTGTTTCTGTTTGATCAAAACCTTTATTATGACATGAACGTTTATCTCGACATTTCGTTATCTCGATATTTTTCGAAGGTCCCGGCGACTTCAAGATAATCAGAGTCGATTGTACATGTTAATGAACAGATTTGCAGATTGTGCATAGGGCGTTATTGATTATAGCTATTGAGTTCTATAAAAACTCCTAAAAATTTACCTGCACAGTCGTTCCTTGCCTCATCCCAGTTCGTTTTGCACAGCATATACAGCAAATGATCGCACTGATGACAATAGCTAACCCAGCCACAGCCCCGACAACAATACCAATTATAGCACCCGTGCTTAGATCACATGATGAATTGTCACCGCACGAGTTATAACCATTACACACTATATCATCATCTATACATCTTCCGTTAGAACACGTGTGTCCATAGCTGGGACAATATCCTGTAAAAAGATATAAAAAATGGTACTGAATTAACAACACATATATGTCACTTTACAGGGGCAGGGGAACTCTCTTATTTAATTGCTGTGTCGCCTTAATGGTGAAGTAATTTTTTTAAAAAGAATGTAAAATAATCGATTATAAATCAAACCATCTTAAATAACATATAATAAACCATACTTAAAAGCAAAATATTTTCTACAGTAGTGAACAAAGAAAGTACTAATTACATATTGAAAACAGCACTTTCAATCCACGACAATTACGAAAATAAAGGTCAAAATATGCAAAAATATTCCTTACTGTGTTAGTCACGCAGTGGAAATATGTTAATAAATACTGCAAAAATCAGTCATTCATTGCATATAACATGTAAATCACTACTGTGAATATGTATATTTTTCTCAAAGTGGATTTTCTTGATATTTTTTATCGTCCGGAGGCACGTGGCTTTCATAAATTGAATAATGGAGACACATATATATAGGATTAAAAATAATAACGATAAAACTTGTATAGATTCTTCCAAAGCAGAATGTAACAAGTCTCCCCTTATTTGTCACAGGGACATACACATTGTACATTATTCATAATTTCTCAATTAAATGGATGAAAAAAATGGTATGAAACTTTGTATGTTTATGAACTGTTATCGCATATTCTGTCAAACATTTTTATAAAAGAAAACTATCCATATCTCTGACGCAGTTCAGTAAGTTTCGCCATTCATGTCTTGATTGTTTATTTGTTTGTTAGTTTGTTCGTTCGTATGTATGTTTGTATGTTTGTTTGTATACACTTTATTGAATATATTGAATAAGCAATAACCACTCATTTAATGCATGCAGAATAAACCTATGTAACATACTTTATTAAGTGTTATGAAATGCAACAAACCAGATGGCTTGGTGCGAAACAGCGCATCTTGTACTTTATGATATATGAGCTTAAACCGTGTCTCAACAAACCCTCGATAATGGTTATACATTTTAATTAGACCATTTAATTAGAACACAATTTTTTTATTTTTCTAAAGGAAAGGTCGGATGATGCTGGCTAGGTTTAAAAGTACTAATCAACTCGACTTCCGTATCTTTAAATCTAATGCCATTTTCACCATTTCTATCCACAGAAATAAAATAATTTCCGGCCAAAGATACCGCCATTCGCTAAATAAATTATATAAGATCGTGGGAACTGTGACATCCGACACCTTCATATAGGGCTCATCGTGAAGTCGGGGGTACTCCTGAATCCCGACCGTCACTGGGAAGTCGAGGGTCAGTAGTGCACCTGGCACGGCCTGGGGCGCGTGTCATCGCAGGAAGACTTTATTGGAGCTTCCATGCCCCAGGTCGTGCTCTGGTTGAGTTAAGGTCCACGATAGAGTAGGCGGAGACCACCAGTTCCCGCCGATCTGAAAACTTTTCTATAAAATACATTATAAATTATATTCAATTAACTTTGCATAAAAATACTTGAATATTAGGTAACTTTAACAAAAGGGAAGTAAATCTACTATGTAAAGCTATTTTTTGTTATCTCCCCTCATCTGCCATATTGAGATTATTTAAGTTACCATGGATTTTCTGTTCTATACCCTATCTTGTTTGTTATTGTTCAACATTAGACTTCTCAGTTAATACCTTGAAAATGATTCGCATGTTTACTGAAATACATGTAGTATATTCACTTTGTTTCATTTTTGTTTCGCATCATGATATTGTGATATGTTAAAAATGTTGATTATTATAATGACTTATCGTCGATTTAATTTTATACATGTATTATTTTTTCCCCTTTACTTCTGTTTTTTTTTTTTTTTTTTTTTTTTTTTTTTTTTTTTTTTTCTTTTTTTTTCTCTCCAAACCTAAATTTTAACTACATTTTTCATTGTAAATTTTCTAGGTCCATCCAGTGACACTTTTTTTTACAATCGAATCACATTGGTGAAAAACAAATACAGAAAGAAAAAAAAATAAAGAAAAAAATAAAACACTACCTTTGAGTGTAAGATCAGCTTTCGCTATCAGTTAATATGTTTTAGCAATATATACAATAGTTTTGCCTCTTCACGTACTTGAAATTTGAAAGTATACAAATCTAACATGTAATATCAAATTATTTACCATTATATTCTTCTTTTCGCTACTTATACATACCTGTACCATAAGCTGTTATGACCACTGTGAATATATCACTAATATACTGACGTTTCTTTGGGACGTATCTTATTCTGAAAGACATGTCTTTTACTGTATAAACACTATTCGGTTTACTAGACCCACAAATCTCTCCTTCCAATCCTGAAAAAAAACAGGACAGACTTGCATTGGTGTAATCAGAACCTTTTGAACGCGTAGACAGACATTACATGTACAGCGTTTCTCAAAACGTTACAAACAAGGTTTTACGTATCAAAAGGTATGTTAAATAACGCGCACTTTCTCATTATTCAAACATATAGATAAAATGAAGTACTTACAATTGAAAATCTGCAAAGTATCTTAAAAAATATGTTCAAAATTTAATGGAAAATCGGAAGGTTAGTGCAATTCTTACTCCGATTCAAGTGAAAATGCGTTGCAACGATTTTCATTTATGAGACGTTTTGCACAATAAAATTGATTATTCTAGAAAATGGGATGACCTACATCAAATGGTACACAGATCTCAGAGAAATAAATTCCAGTCACGATATGTTAAAAAAAACATCAGTGGAGTACCTTTAATCAGTTAGAAACTATCGACTGTCTTGCAAGATCCCTTTAAGCATGTTACATGCAAACTCAATGGCGTTGTTAAGGCGTGACCGGCTTATTGATTACGCACTTATGAAATTATGGAGATATTTTAAGGCCTTCTTGCTTAATAATAACTTAACAAAAATTTGAAACGTTACTCCATCACCACATTTAATTATTCGTAACATTTTCGCTGTGCTTTATTTGTTTTCATTTTTTCATGCCAAGGTGAAAGGCATCAAATGTAAATATGTGTCAAAAGCAAAATGTTTGGTAGAAAAGCAATTAAACATGTTATAATGATATTTTTATCTCCCGTGTGTACAAACAGGACTTAATAGAAAAAGATCGTCCTAAAAACCTTAGGTCAGTTAAATGCGATCGCAAAAAACAAATATTATTTTTTCACACGTAGGCTTGACGACGCGATATATTATATATTAAATGGAAAGAATAGTACAGACTCCGCCTTTACCAGTCCTGGTGATGACGAAAATTGCATCGTAGAAGGTTTTGGGTGGGTAACGATTAAAAAAAAAAGATAATCTATTGAGCGGCAAACTAACAGAAACTAACAGAGAACTAACATATACATAATATCTTGACATAAAATATTGATTTTCTTGAAAAATATGCTACCTTAAGTTAAGTCATGCCCGTTGCATTCAGTGCTTTCAGCACTTTGGTTTAATATGATGCTTACCATTGACTCTCGAGTGTCCACTTTTGCCACTGTAAAACTCAAGATGTCCATCGCTACAGTCTAGGTCTAAATCATCAAAATAGATCATGAAGTCAGAATAGTACGAATACCAGGCTTCAAACGTAGTCTCGCACACTCTGTCCGTGCTTCCGTACGGATAATTATTATGATGGAGTTCATAGATGTATTCGTCATCCATTTTGAGCTCAATTTGTTGTTCATCTTTGAGGATGAAACTAAACTCCTGGTTGCAGTAATCCTGCATGTTATCTGGAGACAATATACATAAAATGTAGCATAACTGTGGTTTCTTTAATTGATATAATAGTGTAAAACTTAGTGAAATATTCGAGTCCTAATCTCTAAATTGAAGACCCAGTTGATAATTTAATGATAAATTAGATGGGTACTTTAAGTAAATGCATGTTGCAGTAAAGCTGCAAGTCATCTAGACACAAACTACATAAAGATATAGCAAAACTGTGGTTTCTTAAACTGATATAAGACTTTATCGCATACCCGTGCCGCTTTTGCGGCTTCGTAAAAAATGGTATTGCACGGCCGTGCATATATATTTTGACGTGACACGTTTGCGTTATACAAACAGTGTAAAGAAGCGTTAAATCTTAGCGTTATATACTATAATATATATACTGTAGGCTTGTCAATGCAAAATGACTCTTATTCACTTTAAACGATCTTTATAAACTTAATTTCGTTTAAGTTCATTACTAAATTTATTGAACTCGTTGATGATCGCCAGAGGCTCGTGCAATATAATTTTATTCAACTCGTTCAATAAATTCAGTATTGAACTTACAGTCATTCAATATCCTATATGTAAAACACAGTTTAAACATTCGAGCCTTAATCTCTTATTTGAAGACCCAGTTGATATATAATACTATGATAACAAAATTGTGTATTTAGGAAATATATATCAGTTTTGAGTGCATTGTTGTAGAATAATGTATGGTTATGGTTCAAATGCGTAGGATTATAATCATGAAGGCCTAATGTCTAAGTAATGAACTACAAAGCATTTGAACTATAAACCGTGCATTGTTATACTATAATACAAGAAATACAAGATACTGAATGAGTGTTCAATACTGAGCCTCTGGCGAGCATAATATTATTTTATTCAGCGAGTTCAATTAAATTCAATAATGAACTTACACGAATGTAATAGCGAGCTCGACGAGCTGGCCCGAAGGCTTTACGGTAACGCGAGTACCTGCTAAGTGATGGTTTTAAAAACTTTCGTCCGAAGTACCGAATTGGACACATCGCAACTTTTCGAATTACAAGATGACGATACAAGCCGATGTACTCTGATTGAAAACGGAAGCGTAGACTGGTGTCCTGAGCACTTATATAGGAACCATAATAGAAAGGAGGAACCAGAATAAACGGAAGCAGTGTATAAAATACCGAATGACAACTTTGAAACGGAAAATGTAAAATAAAAATGAACGATTATTTTAAACTATCTTACGGTAAAAGAAAATCGAGCTCGCTTTGAGCCTTGCCTTTTTCATTTTAGCGAGCTCGAAGAGCTGGCCCAAAGGGCCTGCTTGCAAAGCGAACTTCACAGAAACGCGAGTACCTGATAGTTAGTGATGGTTTTGAAACAATACAGGATTGGAGCAGTACCTCTCGATGCTTGCAGAAATCATGATCACAAAATAGACAAATATCGTCTTTTTCGCCGATTTTTACATTTTTCGTTCAGTATCATTCATAAATCGGTGTGAAAACATGAATTGGACCTATTAAAGTTCATTCCGTTGCATAAAAAGGCAAGATTTTAGAAACTTTTCGAATTACATGATAACTATAAAAGCCGAGGTATTCTGATTGAAAACGGAAGTGTAGATTGGTGTCCTGCGCAATTTTATGGGAACCATAATGCGACAGGGAACCAGAATAAACGGAAGCAGTGTATAAAATACCGAATGACAATTTTAAAAAGGAAAATGTAAAATAAAAATGAACGATTATTTTATACGAGGCTTGACCGGCTATAGACTACACGTGTATGTAAAATAAAATAAAATAAAATATATAGAATTTAATACCTATTGAACAATGAAATTTTCACTGTCAGTTCTAGTTGGGCGCCGCCATTTACAATGTAACTCAATGATAATGGGGGGGGGGGGTACAATAACGGAACAAAATTTTTCGGATTAGTAATACTCGTTTAGTGTTCCGAGTGAAAACGGAAGCGGTGCATGAAATACCGAATAACACCTTTAACACCCCCCATATAAGACAAGTCGCGTGCTTTAAATGACGTACCATTGACCCGCGCCTTTTATGAATGAATTGCGTTCTTAGGATGACGTCATTTTTCCGTTATGATGTTCATACGCTACTATAAGAATAAAGTGCGTAATGAGAATATCAGTTTTCGATCATAATTTCTGTTTCGAAAATAATTGACATGCAATATGCAAGAAAAACAATAAAACACCGGCTGTTGGTACAAAGGGGAATATCTAGCTCTCGGGTAACTGTTTAGCGGCGGAAACTCGACAGGGCCTCGTTACCGCTTTAAACATTTACCCTCGAGCTATATATTCCGGTCTGTACCGGCAGTCGGTAGTTCGTATGAGGCAAATGACGTCACGTCTAAATATATACACGGCCGTGCAATACCATTTTACGGAGTTGCAAAGTGGCACGGGTATATGATAAAAATAAATATATATATTGATGAATATTATGAAGGCCGGTTACCAGCCAACTTTTTGTGATTATTAGTAACGTAGTAACAGGGCCAAGTAATCAGGACTAAACAATATGTTGAACTACAATGAGCGTAGAAGTAAAATGTCTTGACGTCACTAAGTTAATAAACGATATATATGACGTCATATCACGTCTGAGCATTTCCTTTTATGTTGCGCAAAATTATATGGTGTAATAATGCACTTGCCTGCCCTGTCTGTTTGAGGAATATTGTTGCGTTAGAATAAATTCTATCTTTATATTATTAAAAAAAAACGCTTTAAAAAAAGAGTTCTAAACACATTAATTTTGCCCACTCAGAATTTCCTTTCAGGCAGAACTGTAAAAGTTTACAACGATCGAATAGTTCAAAAGGATGATATCAAAATATATTTCATTGATGAAATACAGTACTTTATTGGTTTTAAAGGCTGACGGTATAATACTTACATATTATTTAAAGTTTGAATGGTTAATATATCAACAAGCAAATGTAGACATAATCATTAAGTCATATTGTTTACAATTTACAAAAATAAGTTACTTACATCCGTGACATATCCCATCTAAAGCCAGCAACACTATTCCAAATAACAGTAATTTCGCCATATACCATTCTTTTCTATAATGTTTAACGTCCGCCATTTAAAGAATGTTTTAGATATCTGACCTTAATATGAGTTTGTTATCTCTACGCCAGATAGGATTGGTCGTTTATTACGTATGGGGCTGTGATGTAAAAATCTAAAACACTTAGTTACCCATATCTTCTGTTTACATTAAGTTGTCATTTCGCCAGACGACTTAAAATGATCAATATGTGTTGAAATACCAATATACATGTATTATATAGCATACATATTGCAAAATACATGGCTTATCAGACAAGGTATTTCATTCAATACATTCATAATTTATTTTTTTGTGAAAAGAACTGAACTGTAGGATTTATCTTCCCATTGATCAAAAAGATTCTCATATTCTACCCTATCTAGAATCACGTGCGTTGAGTCCAATATACGTTGATGCTTCCCTTATATAGAATTATAAAGTCAATATTTGTTGTTGCTTTGCTTGTAGAATACACGTTAATGTTTTCCTTATGTAGAATTAAAAAATCAACATAGATTTATGCTTCCCTAATATGAACCTTAAAGGTCAATATTCGTTGATACTTCCCTTGTTTGAAGCTAATAAGAATCGATGTGCATGCGTCTCTCTGTTTCCAGGAGAAAAATCAATGGAAACATGTTAATATCAATATATTTAAAACATTTCTATCATTTAATGTTATGAAAAACGACACATTCCATGGCAATAAACCCGTCAGTATTCTACATTGGGCACCTGGACATAATGTTAAGGTCCATCTTTGGGTAAGGATGTACATAGTGTTATGCATTTACTATCAAATTCATGTGTATAAAACAAAGATTTTTGCTATTCGTTTGGTAACGCTAAACACATTTGTTTGTGATTTGTTATTTTCAAAGACAACTAATATATGACTTATTTCATAATCTAAAAAATGCAATGGGAATCTGGGCGTATCTGTTGTTGAATGAAAACATAATCAACATTTTTTTGCTTTCATTTATTGAAGAAAAAACAACAAACCATCAATTCGCATTAGGTTTTTTTTTTATTTTGATATGTTAAATTATGGAATTAAACAACTAAATTGTAGTCTATCTGGTTTCATATAGAAAGATAATAAAGTAAAAAATAAACAAATATATAATTCGTAGGGACATATGAAAAAGCACCATTAAAATTATGATGATCAGTGTCTGTATCATTTTTATTTTCACGCCCACTTTCACAAGGGACACCAACATCACCGATGCATGCCGCATGGGCCATGACGTAAGCGATGACGTTCTGCTCTTTAACACCGGTCAAAAGATGCGCCATTGGTCCGCGTGCGTAAATCGGCACATCTTCACCACTATGCGTCTCCCAGGGTAGATCTACGACAACGTCCTGCTTGAATTTTACATCAGCTAAATAAATAGAATAGTTACTAAATTCACACAAAAGCAGAATCTTATCTACGATAGATCGTCAATATGTTTTAATAGATTAGATTTGACCTATATCATTTACCGATAATATTAATACTGTAAATATCTTGGACATAATATAATTATACTATATCCCAGTTAAAATATAAAAAGAATTTATTCAACTACTTATTTAAAGAAAAAGTATGCTCATCTTTAGGTAAGATATTTTTGCAACAAAACTTCACTGAAGTCTAGGAAACCTAGAAAAAATGTATAAATTTAATACGAGAATGCACAAACTTTGTTTTAAAAATCTGTATATCCTATTACTAACCAAGTAAGTTTGATCTTTTGTTAAAAAAACTGCCAGTTTACATTTATAAAAATGACACGTCTATGAGTTTTTACTGTGTTTAACCTATAATGTGTATAGTTTCAGACGTAACGTTAACGTAACATAAATGTAACGTAACGTAAATCTTCTCTTTGTGTAATAATCTTGTATTTCATAAATGCAGTTTTTTAGAAGAGAGACAACCTTGGCATGTATTTATGTTCATATTTATACTAGTTATCTCCCTTTATAAGTTATGTGTCTTTTTTTTTTTTTTGAATTTTGTTTTGAGTTGATTTCCATCATAAGGTTTAGTTAAAAAAAACTTTACAGGCAAAATACTGCCAAACCTAATTTCCCTCGGTAAAACGTTATCAATCTAAGATAGAGTTGTTTTTCATTGTTTTATTTCAAACTTAAAAAGAGACGTCAACTCCTAATCATACACGAAATAATTTCAGTAGATCTGATTGAGACTACAGCAGCTATAAGTTTTTTCAAATACCAAATTTTAGCATCATATATCTTTATTTTTAAACTTACTTGTATCAACATCTGTGAGATTTCGTCTAAAGTAGGAATGTTTTGGACCATTGGCATACGAGAGTGTTGTATAAGGTAATTCATCTACTGCTAGATATGCCGACCCATTGTCAATTTTAACGACATCTACGAATAATGTAAAAAGCATTTGTAAATCAATCATTGCAAATAAGGATCTAAGTATTGATTAAAGTCGTGGTATACCTTAATTTTTGTATCAAATATTGATTTTGAAGTGTATAAATCTTAATCTATATAATTATCTGATGCAAAAAATATGTTTTGAATTATACAAAAAAATGCTTCCAAAATACTTGCTTGAAGTAAGAATGGAAGTAATTTGCCATAAAAGAGAATGGCGCATGCGCGAAATCATTACTTAAAGTTGAATTCCCGAGTATTATTTTTTTCTGCAACATTTTATTCTGTGTACGTTCACTATTCACGTGTAGGATATAACTGAGACATTCTGTGTTCAAACAATTCCGAGAATCGACCATACAATTATGGAACCAATAAAATTTTAATGTGGATAAATGCATGTACTCCCTGGTATCACAAAACGTAAAATCAGTTGTTTTCATAAGCTGGCGGTGATACACTGCACGTGACCGGAAGTAAAAGATATTTATTCACCCATATACACATTGGGTTATATAGGCTTGCAATAAATAATAATTGTCCAATTTCTACTCAGTGCATTACACTATCAAAAAGCTATTTAAGTCATTTAATAAAATAAAATTCGATCTAACAATTAAAGCTTGCTTGAAAACTAGCGAAAATAACAACAACAACAATAACAATAATAATAGGTATAATAATAATAAATATAATAATAAAAATAATAATAATAATAATAATAATAATAATTTAATAATAATAATAATAATAATAATAATAATAATAATATTAATAATAATGATAACAATAATTATGATGATACTGATGATGATTCTGATGATGATACTGATGATGATTCTAATGATGATGACGATGATGATGATGATGATGACGACGACTATGATGATGATGATGATGATGATGATGCTTCTGATGGTGACGATGATGATGATGATGATGGCGACGACTATGATGATGATGATGATGATCTATTTACCTAATATGTTATTTCCTCTTTCCGGGTAACCAGCTATTGTCATTGTGTGAGAATGGTCAGCTGTAACAATCACCAATGTCTCGTGTTCATTTGTCATATCTAGCACGGTTTGCACGGCCTCTTCAAACGCTATGGTCTCTGTAAGCGCTCTTTTTGCCTGTATTGCGTGATGACCATGGTCAATCCTAGCACCTTACCGTGAAATAAAATCAAAGTTATTATAATAACTAAAGGATATGAAAAAATATTCATTTAGTTCTCACTAGAGAAACCATTTGAGGGGCGGGGGGTAAATGTGTAAGAATTTAATCCATTGATCACGGTAAAGTTCTATATGTTGTGTTAAGCTACTGCACTGATCAGGGAAGTTAACTGCTACGGGCAATTATTATTCAAGTGCACGTGCAACGGGTTCATGAATTGTATATTTTTCCATAAACTTTTTTTCCAAGTTTTAATATGAAACGTTGTTCAAGAAACTGATAACTTAATACAATGTTTTGAAAGAATCTTAATCTGATTGAACTATTTTGTTACGCGTAGTAATTGTGGAATTGAATACTGCGGCATATGACGGCGATACCGCCTTACAAAAATCCTTCCATTTCTATTGTGCAAAATAACGCAAAAATAAAAAAGGTTGCAACACTTTCACTTAAATCGGGCTTAAGAATCGCACATATATCAATATGCCATTTAATTTTTAGTTTATTCTTTTATTAGCCTTTGCAAATTTTTTCTATTAAGTGTTTCACTTTCTATATGTAAGAATTTCAATTTTACGTTTTTAGGCCTGAGTTCCCAGGTAAAAACAAAATTATTTTACTTGTAACATATTTTTAAGAAGAATTCCCTCTATGTTTTTGAAAAATAAAAACAAAATCAAGTTACTTCTAACATAAAATTATGTTTAAGAACATGTGTCTGGGTGTTTTGTGAAGCCAGTTATTCTTGATATACCATTTACGAAATGAATCGATTGTTACCTTCTACCATTAGAAAGAATCCGTTTTCATTCTTATTCAGAATTTGAATGGCTTTACGAGTCATTTCTGCTAAGCTCGGTTCCCCAGCATCGCTGGTGTTTCTTTCATGCTCATATGACATGTGGCTTTTGTGAAACAGTCCTAAAATATAATAAAACAAAAGTGAATACAGCCATATATATCAATTACCAGCTTCGGTTGTTCATCGTTTCACATCTTAGATCAAGACGTTTTGTGTACTTTTCATTGGCCAGTAACCAGATACCGCGGGCACATCCGCGCAAGCACACTCTTAGACACACCAAGTGTTCTAGCCACATCATCATGCGAATGTCAAACACTATAGTTTGCACCGTGATAGTGACCTTAGGTGCATAAAATGTCGCATGACATAGTTGCAAGTGATAGTCGACACAAAGGTCCTAAAAATTCCAAAGGAGATTACAAAATTATGAACGAAAAGGATGATGGTATATGACTGGCAAACTTAAACATCTTAAACCAAAGTCATTAAAACGTGTCTTTTTAATATTTACCGTATATCGCATGCGAAATGATTTTATGGGTAAATGATAACGCATAAAATTGTCATTTACGTTTGATATATATAATCACGTCAACGCTGCATATGTCGTATGACAACCCTTCAACTTAAATGGAGGCTGTACAACCCAGATCTTCCGTTAGCTAGCTAGATAAATTCTTAACAGAATTGAAAGCCGACTCTTTTGATAAACCATTTATTATTAAACCACAATATCCATTGAAATAAGTAAGCAGGTAACTACGACAATACGAAAATAAACTGCAATTTACCAAGTAAATAGTCGGTATGTTCAGGGCGAACATCTCTGAGCTGACCTGTGTTATGTACAACCCGGTGTCTCAGCTGTTTTCTCCTTTTATCTTCCTTCCATTCCTTTAACCAAAGACAAACCGTAGTAACTTCAGTAATAATTAGCATTTTTTTTTAAAAAATGGCTTAAGTGTCATATTTTATAATATTTTCCCAAAGATTTCGTAGAAATGCATGAAATATTAATACATGTACACTTCAAAAATGGCTTAGTAGACTTAGTACCGTTTAAGTATATTAGGGCTCATTTTAAGCCAGTAACCTGAAGGGACCGAATGTGCAAAGCGTATCCTTACAGTACTTCCAATATCATGTGAAATACCAATGAATTTATTTCAAAAATTCATACACATGCTACCCCTAGTCCTCTCTATGGATTGTTCAAAGTATGGCATATCCATTAAACTTCAACTTCAGTTTATCGGTAAATTGCTACTTATCAATTGTTAATAATCGGAAAATCAATCTCAAAATGTTGCAACGATCGTCCATCAACTGGCCTTAAGTTTACTTTTTGGCGCGGTTTGCATCATGTTATATGCAGACGACATAGCAAGTTATGAGTGCAAATAGGCACTAAATATGTTCACATTTGTTTTGTTTTGTTTTGCGGCCCACCAACCCAATTTTGGTCATATGGCGCCGAAACAGGGAAGATGATTTTGGCTAACCTCGGATGTTAGAAACTTAAAGCAACACCAAGGATCAAAACCACCTCACTTGCTTGAGCTTAGAGATGCATAGATTTTCCACAGATTCGAACCCATTTAGTCGTCTCTTACGATCACTCAGGGTTAGGTGGTGGCGGCAATTCAAATGCCTCAATCCGTAAAGGCAACCCCGCAGCCACAAGAGGCAAATATTCTAACGTCTGCGAATACTTGAGTACCTTTAAAAGATTCTGATCATCCCGTCGTTGCTCCCTATAATCTATCTCATTGGTGGTAGGGTCCGGGATGGTATTGGGGATAAAGTTGCGCGTTCCTCCTCCCAGGATAACCTTGAATATATAATATTAATAGATTACATTACTTGTATAATATAATGTTATTATAATACAGATATAAAATTTACCCAATCTGATTAAAATCAGCTCCTAAATAACGCTACGCATTAGGAGTTAAGTACATGTGCACTGTAGTCAGATTGCAATAATGAGTGTAGTACAACTGTCCTAAGTGTTGATATATTTCTTACCATTTATGTCATGAATAATATTAGTATTGTTAACATATCAATAGCGTTTTGGTCAGGGGTTACGTGGTGACAACCATGTAATGAAAGTTGCACTTTTAACAGTTGATATTATTACCCCTCACTTTTTCGTAATGTTAATTTCCCATAGGCCAATGGAGTTATTTATACTGTTAATGCAAGAAGAAATTTATACTGTTACAAAGCAAGCACAGCAAACTGCCGCTCCGCTTCAAAATTGTGGTGCACTGAAAAACCAACGGACGGCATTTCCGAGCGGAAAAATAAATAAAACTCTTGAGAACTGAAGTGAAAATAAAAGCTATATTTTTGCGTGAGTCAACAAGCTGGGGTATATATAAACTGTTCACAGACCTGTATATGACTGGCATTGCGAACAAGCTGTGTAGCTATATCTGTACAATAACCTTCACGTGTAAAAGGAATTTTGTGGTCATTTTCCCAGTCGCGGTTTGATGTCGCGGCGTATAACGCTGCAGGCGTCGCGTGCGTTACACGTGCTGTTGTCACAAATCCATTTGATTTACCTATAAATAGATGCGTTGCATTAAGTAAGATGCTGTCTATCTTTTCAGCGAATACATAAATGTGGCTACAAATACTTTTTCCTATTGATTTATAATGTACCATATGTAACAAACAAAAATGTAGTTAAAGGTTTTGAAACAAATCACTGGGACTGTCTTCAACATTCAACACGTTTATTTTATAGCTCGACTATTCGAAGAATATGGTAAACTGCTTTACACATCCCGACGCCGGTGTCACACTTTAGTTAAGTTTTTGGTATCTGCAAAACTACGGCAGAAAATGTGATGAAACTTCACACACTTATTTAAATGCATATTAGAGCGTCACTAGCCAAGGTCTATAACTCTAGCATGGACTTTGGTATCATTATGGTCCTTTTTGAATTGAGAAAATTTTACATTATCCAGGTTCTTTTCTTTTTCTTTTTGTTCTCCTATTATTTTATACTTACGATATAAACTATATAAAAAAAAACAATTAAAACGCACCAGCATCTTTTGACCAATGGAGTATATTTTGGAGCTTGTAGTCTGTGAGATCATGGCATACATCATAATTGACGGCACTATCAACTCCTAATGTCCTACTTTTTACCTTCACTCCCGACACAATAGCTGTCATGGTGGCCGCCGAGTCGGGGACCTGATAGTCTGTTGTGTATACCTTGTTAAATACAAACAATGGTTATGTGTCTCTTTTCTGAGAATTCCCTTCTTTGGTATAGAGAAATTGGTTTAAACATATTTATTTAAGCTCGATTGCGAAACAAGTTCTTGCAACTTATATTAATCACTTTCGAGTCCGCTTCCTGGCACCCAACCAGTACTGGTGTCATAGGAAGAAACATGGTCATGACCCGATTAGGGCTCGAACCCATGATCACTGGGTTGAGAGAAAGACGCCTTAACCACTAGGCCGCCGCTACTCTTGAATATGTGTAGTATGGAGAAATAGACCATAATATTGTTATTGCTGTTATCAAATTTGCTTTCTTCTCGTAGGCATAATGTTCTCGAATTTAAATATAGTCATTTGAGTGTAACACAAATGCTCTGTATGTGGTATTATTGCAAATTTGCTTTATGATATGGAAAGACAAGACAAAGATAATTATATAAAAAGTGCATGTCTTATTGAGAGATATCCTTTTGTGCATTTTCATTGCAGAAAAGGTACATACAACCTTTAGTAGTATTTTATAATGATGGGGTCAAATTTTTCGTGCCTTAATCCATACCAGGGTCTTTCAAATAGAAATTTATTTGAAAGACCCTGTCCATACATATACATGATTATTAGTTAAACCTCATTTTAATAGTATTCTTCGTTAACTTGAAATACAATTTCGTTTGGAACAGAGGTATTTACATGGTATGTAATATACTAGGACATGTATCATAAGAAATAAAAAATGAAGAAAGAAATAATACCTTTGCTAAGGCCGTGTAGGGGAATTTTTCGAAATTTAGTTCTGTTTCTTCCCCACTGTTTCCTTGCATTTGACCTTTGAGTGTCCTTGCTGCGGTGATTGTGCTTAGGCCCATTCCATCACCAATCATTAATACGATGTTCCTCGCTCTGCCGGTGTTGTGTTTGAGATTCAAATAGCGATTAAGGTTGTCCTTTGCGATGTTCCGCCAATAGTTGACATCTTTGTAAGTTTAAATGAATTAAAATATAGATGAAGCAATACTTTGGTAACATTTTTGTTCGAGACATACATATTTGCATATTATTCTTCTTGTAACATATGTTATTTATATGATTACAAAAGATGAGATATTGATAAGAAGTTTGTTGATAGAAATTATATTAATTATATCAAAAGCAATTGAAGAAAAAAAAGATAAAACATACTTATCGAACTTTTGACAGTCTTTGATAAAATATTTGAAAAAAAAGACAGTGCGACAGAGTTTTAAAGCTGCATGCCTCAAGGTGAGCCAGATAAATTTAAGAGGATCAACTTTGTGAAAAATGTACTGAGATTTTAAGGAAAGTAAAAAAGTCACAATTCAAGTAATTCTTTAATTTAAGATCTGTATGAAATGAACGACTGGTTTGGTAGTATCATCATATTTCTATTGCGTGACTAACGCAGTCAAGCAGATTTTGCATATTCTGACCTTTATTTGGTAATTTACTTGTATTGAAAGTGCCTTTTGTAATGTGTACATTACTTTCTTTGTTCAATTGTCGAAATTTTACTTTAAAGTACATTTTCGGAGTTTTTATGAAAACTATCAATAATCTGGAGACATGCTGTTTTTAAGGAAGATAATATTCAAAAAAGGAAAGGTTACCTTCTATTGCTGAAACGACTGTTAGAGATGTTACTAACAAAACATTCAGATTTAGCAGCATATTATCTGAAATAATTCAAATGCACATGTATATCATAGTCATAAATTATAATAAAGTGTTTTCCAGTTAATCACAAATACACTGAGTGTATAACTGAGCCTAAAATAATTGCAAACTGAAAATTATATATCTAAGTACTAGTATATATAAATAATTGGAAAAAAAACGAAAGTATTAATTAAAACTGATTTGATCAATGTTGTAATCATTAACATAACATTAACATACAATCTTTAAACTTATGATAGAGAGAACTTCCAAAGGGCCAGAAGTAAAGACACGCTCAGTATCTCCAGAGCTGTGTAGGGTTTCCAGAAATATACAAGACATTGTATTAATTTTACAGAATTTAAAGGTGATTTGGCCAGAGTGAGAAGGCAAAGAAGCACACAGCGTCAGTCGATGGTTGTTTAGAACCCAGTAGACTGTTTAGCCTTGTCAGAAAAATAGAATGGACCCCTGTGTTATTATAATGTTGTGAGTTTGATGAAAGATGTCCTTCCGCAACCAGTTGCAAGTGGTTGCCAAGGGAAGACTTCGGTACGTGAGTAGATCAGATACGTTGTTGTCAACAAAATGATTCTTTCAAAAGTTTGAACCGTCTTTGAAGAAGCTGGCATTTAAACCAATATAAACGTTTCTTATGTCAGGTAAATTGATTGTATCTCAAGAAATGTAACAATCGGTCAAATTCTAGGTATTGCTCCTGACTTGCGTCATTACAATTCTCCACTACTTGAAATGGGTTATGTCATCTCTGTTAAATGAATTATCTAAGCTATCACGAAACATTTAACTATTTCAGCTGTTTGATATATGTCGGTTTGAGCAATGGTTCGCCAAAAACGTACTAATCCTGGTTCAACAAAGGTCATCACTGGGTGAAATTTTGGGACCTTATTTCTATAAGATCGTCGATTTAAAACAGATATTCTTTGTTGATGTTTGGTTTCACACTTTGGATATTATAGTATAATACTGGCTTTTTTGAAGTTGGGTTGATTGCCAAAATTATAATTAGGAGTTGAAGAACTGTTGGAGCCACATGGTTCAGACCGGACATGATGAGGGATACTGTGTTTGTGTAGGAGACAGTAGTGTAAGTAGATTGGAAGATATTGTCACTGAGTAAATAAACGGATTTTTTAAAATCTATAAATAGGTCGGTTGACCGCAGCATATGCAAAACCACCAGACGAGTAAGTTTGAAGACCTAATCGAGTCCCCCACCCCCTAACAGTCTTTGTAAAACCATTGTTCATGTACCTAATACTTTAGCTTTTTAAAACCATGAGACTTTTAGGTCAACAATATCAATGAATGAATGATGTGCATAAATAACAAAACACAGTATTATTCAAATTGTAATATAGTGAAACACAGACTTAAAAATAAAATGCTGAAAGACTTGTGTCTGCCATTTTGTTACTCAGTAAACACACTCTTAAATATTATTCGGAGGCAAATGAGGATTTTTTTCGGGGTATATACATACATTAATATATAATGCAATAAAGTGCGTGTCAAACGAAGAAAATGGTCATGAAATGTGATGATTTAATTCATCATTTAGATTAATAATAGTAAACATTCTACTGCACATCTATTATCATCGCTCAAAATTTGTTCAGATCTGATTGATCACTGTTCATATAAAACAATTTTACTTTACAAAAATGCTCTGATTTTTTCATAATATTCATGATGAATCCTCCCTATTAATATATACATGTACATGTATACGCTTTATAAACATTTGAATTTCAAAACGTTATGAAAAAAAGGTGTTTTAACGAAGTATATTTGTTATTATATCTAATTATTATCATTTTTTATTACTAATCTTGGTTGGAAAACATTCTCCTGAAATTACAAGTTATCATGTCTTCATCAAATAAGAACAAATTATTTCGTTTCTCAAAATTTGGTAAAGAGGCTTTTGAAACACGTTAAAATGCTCCTGAAGTTATATATTATTATTAAGTTTTATGAAAACTTATCATAACATATTTAATAATTCTAATCCAATTTATTGCATTATTATCATTATTGTATTGTGTGTCGAAGTCATACTTCACATGATTGGATGTTTTGTAAATGGTCAAAGGCAATTGTTTTTATAAACTCGAAACTTGTCTAACTATATGGTGTACATTACACTTCGTTCATAAAGAGCTGTTTTCAGAGTAAAAAACTTTATTTTGCTAATAACCGCTTTGTTCAGGAACATTTTGATGACGTAAAATTAAGCATCATTTTATTTGTAGACTCAATGATTAGCGGGAACATAATGTTATATTTATTGAAAGGGTCACTCTCATTACGACAATATTCTCTTTGATCCAGCCATATTATCATAATTATTATGGTATCTATTACGTTATCAAATTATACTTTTAAGTACAGGGAGATGTATTGTTCATATTTTCCTGAGTTTGTTTGTCAAAACATTATTATTCATAAGTTACGTTAAATTCTGTATTTTGCCACAGAACTGACAAGGCTTGAGAAGAATATCTTTTTCCACTATGACAATCGCAACTACTCGGCCCTTTCCGTCAGTCTCCGGATAGGTTTTTATAGATAATAGCCGAGGCAGTTCCGAATGCCACTATGATTCAACAATTCAATAATAAACACGGTCAAAGACCGGATCCCTTGGTAACCCCGGATCATGTATTGTAGGACTGGTGTAACCTCAAAGTGCCGACTGACAAATAATTGTCGGGTAACAATAAAAAACAACGTTTCTAGGTAACCTTTATATATAACGACAAGAGGATTGTACTTGCATGTATTACATTTAACCAAACTTTGAAAATTTCCACGAATCATGTATAGATCAAGGGTATGCATCAAACATGCATCAAAATATATACCATGTACTTCTGCATCACAAGTTACCATTTTCACATAAAAATCAGTTTCGCAAAGCAGATGAATGATATCATTATCATTAAATACAAAACGTTGAAACTTCAAACATTTTTGAGAGCATAATAGGAGGTCACTATCCAAGGTCTATATCTCAAACATGCATTTTGACAAAATTATGGCCCTTTTTGAACTTAGAAAAGTTTACATTATCCAGGCTCTTGTTTTACCATTAGGCACTGAGAAAATACGAGCACGCTGTCCTACCGACAGCTCGATCTTGTTAATTATGTTCTCTATTCATTTTTTCATCATGTTAACATTATGCTTGTAGTGTGATTGATGATTCTAGTACTGTTTGATTATAAAATACAGACGTATGTCTTACTTATCATACTTACCCCAAAATTTTTATAGATGTACTGAAATAATCTTTCACTGCACGTAAAGAATAAATATTTAACATAAAAAAATGACAGGCGTATACTCACATTTGGTGTGAAAAAAATCATCAAGTTGTCAAACAAGTGTTTCTGCATGTCAAATGTATATTTATGTAACGCCAATTACAATGGTCATTCACCGTACAGGATGACACAATGATGTGTACTGAAAATAACTTTTTTTCTTGTATTTTTTTGTAAAATTATCTGTTTTATTTCTAATCAAAAGGCATATATACTTTTTCCTACTTTTTTCAAATTGTGAATGCATGGAAATATATTGAAAAGGTTACAAAACGGACAAGATCAATGGAAAACGGACATTTAATGAATTTAGCAAAATAATAATGATAATAATTATAATGATGATGATAATATAATGAAGTAACATGTTATTCCTCTCCCATGCTAAAGTAATGTAACAATACATGTATTAACATGTTGTATATCAAAATACATGTAGTAGTAACATGCTGTTTATCTCTCATAACATTTGGTAACATGTTGTTCCTCTCACGTGAAAATATGATAAAACATGTAGTTTATCTCACGTGCTTATGTCATGATACATGTAGTAACATGCTGTTTATCTCTCATGACATTTGATTACATGTTGTTCCTCTCACGAGAAAATATGATAATACATGTAGTTTATCTCACGTGCTTATGTCATGATACATGCAGTAACATGATGTTTATCTCTCATAACATTTGGTAACATGTTGTTCCTCTCACGTGAAAATATGATAATACATGTAGTTTATCTCACGTGCTTATGTCATGATACATGCAGTAACATGATGTTTATCTCTCATATACATTTGGTTACATATTGTTCCTCTCACGAGAAAATATGATTATACATGTAGTTTATCTCATGTGCTTATGTCATGATACATGCAGTAACATGATGTTTATCTCTCAAGACATTTGGTTACATATTGTTCCTCTCACGAGAAAATATGATAATACATGTAGTTTATCTCATGTGCTTATGTCATGATACATGCAGTAACATGATGTTTATCTCTCATGACATTTGGTTACATATTGTTCCTCTCACGAGAAAATATGATAATAAATGTAGTTTATCTCACGTGCTTATGTCATGATACATGCAGTAACATGATGTTTATCTCTCATGACATTTGGTTACATATTGTTCCTTTCACAAGAAAATATGATAATACATGTAGTTTATCTCACGTGCTTATGTCATGATACATGCAGTAACATAATGTTTATCTCTCATGACATTTGGTTACATATTGTTCCTCTCACAAGAAAATATGATAATACATGTAGTTTATCTAACGTGCTTATGTCATGAAACATGCAGTAACATAATGTTTATCTCTCATGACATTTGGTTACATATTGTTCCTTTCACAAGAAAATATGATAATACATGTAGTTTATCTAACGTGCTTATGTCATGAAACATGCAGTAACATAATGTTTATCTCTTATGACATTTGGTTACATATTGTTCCTCTCAGAAGAAAATATGATAATACATGTAGTTTATCTCACGTGCTTATGTCATGAAACATGCAGTAACATAATGTTTATCTCTCATGACATTTGGTTACATATTGTTCCTCTCACGTGAAAATATGATAATAAATGTAGTTTATCTCACGTGCTTATGTCATGAAACATGCAGTAACATAATGTTTATCTCTTATGACATTTGGTTACATATTGTTCCTCTCACAAGAAAACATGATAATACATGTAGTTTATCTCACGTGCTTATGTCATGATACATGTAGTAACATGATGTTTATCTCTCATAACATTTGGTTACATATTGTTCCTCTCACAAGAAAATATAATAATACATGTAGTTTATCTCACGTGCTTATGTCATGATACATGTAGTTACATGCTGTTTATCTCTCATAACATTTGTTTACATATTGTTCCTCTCACAAGAAAATATGATAATACATGTAGTTTATCTCACGTGCTTATGTCATGATACATGTAGTAACATGATGTTTATCTCTCATAACATTTGGTTACATAGTGTTCCTCTCACAAGAAAATATGATAATACATGTAGTTTATCTCACGTGCTTATGTCATGAAACATGTAGTTACATGCTGTTTATCTCTCAAGCTAATATGATAATACATTTGTTGACCTGTTGTTCCTCTCACATGTTAGTATCATAAAACATGTAATAACATATTATTCCTCGCTCAAGCTTATATGATAAAACATATATTAACATTTTATTTCTCTCACATGTTATTATTATCATACATATTTTAACATGTTGTTCCTCTCACTTTATAGAATGATAACATATGTATTAACATTTTGTTCCTTTCACTTGCTAATATGATAATACATGTAGTAACATGTTTTTCCTCTCACGTACTAATTTAAATATGATAGTACATTATGTAACACGTTGTTCCTCTCACGTGCTAATATGATAATACATGAAGTAACACGTTGTTCCTCTCACGTGCTAATATGATAATACATGAAGTAACACGTTGTTCCTCTCACGTGCTAATATGATAATACATGAAGTAACATGTTGTTCCACTCACGTGATAATGTGTTTATTCATGTAGTGACATGTTGTTCCTTTCACGTAATAATATATAAGTACATGAAGTAATGCCCCGGTCACATATTCACGGATAATGCCACGGAAGAGCTACGGTCTAATCGTTCACGGATTACTACGGAAATGTGAAATTTCGTAGTCCGCTACGGTTCCAGTACGGGCACACAACGGTATAAGTACGGAGTCCGACGGATTTACCACCAAAAGCCCACGGAGAGACACGGATTGTTACGGACCGACACGGTTTAATACGGAGCGACACGAATCAGGACGGACGCACTACGGATACACTACGGTCTGCTACGGTATAAGCACGGGTTAGTACGAATAAGTACGGTCTGATACGGAGAAGAACGAATTGATACGGAGAAGAACAAATTGCCACGGATCTATACGGACCTAATACATCCGTCCACAACCTACTGCATGCTCATTTTCAAAATGCCTCAAAGAAAAGAACACCTGGAAATCGAATTGCAGAGTTGAATGATTTTGGCGGAGAGGATTCGGCCTGATCGCGTCCGACCCCCGAGACACATCAGGTCCGATTAAAGTGAATTTCTTCCTCAACAATATCGGCCGTCAGAGCCTCATACTAAACATGAAGGGGTCGTCGTAAAAGCCCATCTCTAGTCCACCATCTCGTCTGTCTTCTCTTACCTGATTAGATATGGACTAGTAATCGTTAAAGAAAAATGTTGATCAATACTGCTTCTCTTATAATTTAAAATTGGCTGTTCATTTTGCAATTACATTAATTATCGTGAATGTTTATGTTTTAAAAATATGTAAAAAAGCTTGTTAATTAATCTTCTTAATTATCACTCAAGGGCCAGTGTCCAAGGCTTATGAGACACTTCGTTTTATGTACATATTTACTCAAATTTCACGATCCAATGTTTCGTCGTGCTAGTATAATAAGGTCCTAAGTGCCATTATGTAACATTGCGGGAAATCGAGCTTAAAAATTTAGTTAACAGAAAAATGTTACTGGACCATGTCATGATGGAGATTTTTTGAATGAATCATTAATATGTTCTATCATAACTTGCAAACAAAGACTTTACACGATATCTTTAGAGATATTTTCTAAAACCGGATATTTCATTTTGAGATAGAGCTTTTTGCTTATTTGTACTTGCCGGAAGCTTAGAATTATGTTGCACCCGGAGATAGAGCGTTTTAAAACTGCCCAGGATAGTATGAACTAGGATATAGGATATTTTAAAACTTATAAATATGTTCAATTCTAATGAAAACAAATAGGATTAGTATGGTATTTGTATAAACAAACTTAAAATTCTGGTCAATAATAAACTTTGTAAAATGTTATAATTCTATTACTTATGAATTGTAGTACGATATTAATATATTTTACCTCTATGCATGTCATCAAGCAGTTCGACCACTGCCTCCGGATTCTGAGGCATTTCAATATAAAGTTGCAGCCAGTAAATGGCAATTATCATTTATTGAATGTTCCCGCAAATATGTTTTTAACAAGAAGGTAGTACCCTTGAAATAGTACATGATACCTGATTCATCCCTACTAAACAGTGGTGGACCGTACAATTCCGTACCATTACGCAATAAACCGTATAAGACCGTGCTAATCCCTGCCTCTCCGTAGTACAACGTATTACGGTCGTGGCTTTCCGTGACAATGCCGTATTAATCCGTATTAAAACCGTAGCTTATACGTAGGGTAACCGTACAAATACGTAGTTCTCCGTACCAAACTGGAAATCCTTGACAAGTTGTTGGGCTACGAATCAGTACGGACTAGTACGGTTTTCGTACGAACCAGTAAGTATAGGTACGTTTTAATACGGACTAGCAGGGATACGCTACGGTGGATTTTTCCGTAGCAAATTTTTGTGCATGTTCAAAAATTGTCAAGGATCGCTACGGATATACCAGGACTACTACGGTTGATTACGGTTACAACACGGAGAGCTACTGACCAGTACGGGTAGCTACGGACGATGCCGGAATTAATCCGTGGCTCTTCCGTGGGCGTATTCCGTGAATATGTGACCGGGGTATAACATGTTGTTCCTCTCACGTGCTGATATTATAATACATGAAGTAACATGTTATTCCTTTCACGTGCTCATATGATAATACATAAAGTAACATGCTGTAACTTCACGTGCTAGTATGATAAAACAACAGGTTGTTCTTAGGTCATGAAGTAACGTGCTGTAACTTTCACGTGCTTTTATGATAACACGTAAGTACATGTTGTTCCTTTCACGTGCTGATTTGCTAAAACACGAAGTTACATATTATTCCTCTCACGTAATTATATTTGAATAGTGATATATTCTCTTTCAAGAATTATTTTTCTAATATCTTTGCTCGTATTATTACTTATTTTTCATATTTGATAAGTTACATAATGTTCCCTGTCCTCCAATAATGACTACTCTTCACAGAAACTAATTAAGTATTTAAGACACTCGTTCTCATCGTGTAAGTACACATTTCAACATTTTCAACGTTTCGAAAATGAATGTTCATACATATATTAAAATCAAATTAGGAGTCATCTCTAAGATTATATTCAAACATTTTAACCGTGACATTTAAAAACAACATCTCCAGATCTCTCAAAAAGCGTGTTGTGAAATTTGCCTCGAAGCTCAAAATAAGTACTTTTAAAAAAGGAATAATACTATTTGGAAAATTAGTACAAACATTAAAAATAAATCAGAATTTTGTAAGTCTTAGTTATACATGTAAAATTATATTATTATTCTATTTATATGTATATATGTAGTCGTGTTAAATAACTATTAACTTAAAACACTTCCTTGTCTTTTCATCTCTAAAGTTAGGTGGGGTTTTTTTTAAAATAAAACCTGCAAAATTTAACTTGTTAAAACCAAATCGTCGTGAAATTTGAAGAAAAAAATCAACATTCTTACAAAAAAATAAATATATGAATTATTAACAAAACTTACAATATAAGTCTTAACAGTTTTTGAATTTATAACGAGAGAAAGAAAACTCCATTTACCTGCTTGCTTTTAAATCCAGTCGCTTCTGTAACCAGGACGTAAAACTGACCAGCGCGTTACGCGCACGTGATATATAATCACGTGATCTACTCGTATAATCTACTTAACATTGACATCTGATTGTTGTTTTATTTCTGTTTCATTGAAATAAAAAGATACAAATGCCGTAGGGATAATTACCGTGTTTTGTTACACAACTGTCGTACATCCGCAAAATTACAACATTAACAGAAGCGTTAACTTCTTGTTTGTCCAATTTATCATGTTAAACGGAGTCAATGAAAACGTTAAATCATTTGAAGTTGGTTCATATGACATTATGTTGTGTTTACAAATAAAACACACATTTCTTTTCTTTTCTTTTTTTTTTGGGGGGGGGGGGGGGCGGTCTCTTCACTTTTTACGTTTATTTTAATACAAGTAGTTAAGAACAGTCTATAACATAATTTTCATCATTTCCAAGATATGGTTTCTGACATTTGTACCAAATTACTTAAACGAACTCATATTAGGGCAAACTATACATTTGAACATACTTAACTGAAATTAAATCAATCGATGTCATTCCCATAGCTTATAAGATAAGATTTCGACCATAGTTATTTTTGAAAGGTTGTGTGTAAAGTTCCCTATTATTGTTTAAAAAAACATAAAATATAACCACTTTTTATAATTATGATACGTGATTTACCACAAGTGTACGAGGGCCATTCAATAAGTTCTGTCACTGGGTAACTGCTACGTTTCATAAAAATGTTTTGTATTTCAAACCTTCAAAGTTATCCCAATATACCGTAATGCATCTGTTCAGTTCGAAGACCTGAAAATAATCTTCTTTTTGAATTGCCAAGAGAACTCCTATAGCTAGTGGGATATCTTTTACCAAAAAGCATTTTATTAAGCCCGGGAAACAGAAAGAAGTCGCAGAAACTTAAATCAGGTGAAAAAGGCGGATGATTTACAACTTTAACATTTACAGAGTCATTGAATGAGTTTACATTCTCGCTTTTGTGAGGAGGCATTGTCATGTCATGTATAAGATGGACTCCTGACCATACATTGCCTGTAAAATACCTTTCAGTCCAGAATTCTTGTAGAACTGCCTACAGTGTGACCAGATGGCGACTGGTCCATTGGAATTAAAAAGAATCAAATACAACATCTTCTGTATTGATGGTCCTTTTGGAAGTATAGGACTGTTTTTTCACTGTTTGTAATCATCCCTTCTTTGAAGCTGCAACATATGCACCAAAGTTTCATTACGTAATACATTGCTGATACCAAAAACAGAGAATTTAAGTTTCGCGTGATCTCATATATTTGTTCACTTACATTTTTGATGATACTCATTATGGTTAATTATTTGTATTACATTGCTATGTTATGATACAAGGGAAATGTAAGTGCAAAATAGATAAAATCTTCTAAATAACACTAAAATATCAACAATTTCAACTTAACTCAGCTAATCTTCTTATTCTTAGTAATTGCACTTAAATGCTGTAAATGTACACCCAATAAAACTATTATATAGAGGATATTTGTTTGTTTGTGTGTAAGATGAAATTTTATTTCATCGAGTGGGCTTTAAAAACAGTATTCTCACGAGTGGCGTAGCCACGAGTGAGAATACTGTTTTTAAAGTTCACGAGATGAAATAAAATTACATCTTACACAACAAACAGACAAATTTTCTTTTTATTTTATGCTTTAAAACAAGTTAAAACGAAATTTCCATAATTTTAACGTTGATATTAAAATCTGTTTCCCCCATTGAGAGCCCCATTTAGAGGGAATTTCTCATTAAAAACAAGAAGTCTTGAGCTGAAAAATAAGTCCGCCAATGGAGGTTAAATGAATGTGATATTTATTCATTTTATTAAAAAATATGAATGATCACTTGTTTTAATAATAAAAACAAACAATTCTTGTAGGAGAAAAAGTCCAACCATCCATCCATATTTCTGTTACTTACTGCGAATTTATATTAGACCTGGCTTTGTAAAATGTAAACGGCAGCCATTTTTTAAAGTCGTGTATTTCATGGGAGGAAAATAATTGTGTAAGATACAGAAGGATATAATTTGGATTTGTTAGTCATACACCTTTTTAAAAGAAAGAAAACTTATTTGAAGATTGTAACAGACAAAAAATAAGTGTTGACAGAAGTGAAAACATTCAGAAAAGGAGCTAGGAAAATGGAAAACTTGGAAGTTTGCTAAGGCATTGTAAGGAACGCTGGGTTGATTTACTTATTTTACGAGTGATAGCTGTCCATGCTTTTCAATTTTTCATAAAGCATACGGCAGTTTTTGCTCGTAGGATACTTTAATATGCCCAAATGTCATCAAGAGCAGTTTTGCATGGGGTAGGAATGTATTTTTCAGACTGTAAAAACGAAACAAAAAAATTTAGAGACGAAATTTTGTGATTGGAATTTGAAGGAATAGAAGTAAGTTTTCTCTCTTTATTTTACTTTTGACATTTATGTTATTTATCTATTGCAGCTTTGCTATTTTTTTAACAGCCTGATATTGTCAGAATTGTCAGTAAAAATATAATTGAGGTACCACATGGGGAAAATCTTAAAAAGTAGTTTCGTCATTGAAAAAAGTGAAATTATATTTTGATAATTTTCACTGTGAAATTATCAAATATAATTTTCACGGATAAATCAGTAATCCACTGAAAAGCATAAAATAAAATTTTCTACGGAACAATTGTGTTTACAATTGTTCTAATGATTTTACTTCTATGAGTCAGTATCAAATTTGGCAGGTTTTTAGGTACGAAAATACAAGTTCATATAGAACAAATAAAATCTTTATACTGATGGTGTGAATATAAGGATGCAGTGGTATTATGTATAATGCTTTATAAAAATTAGATTTGCATTTAACCGGCCTAAACCTGTAAAAATGACGCTGTACCAAATCGTAAGGTTCTAGTCTTACTTAATAAAATATTCTACCAATTGTGGCTGACGAGTGGCCTTTAAGGGTTGAGGCATCAGAATTGCGGCCACCGTGTATCCCTGCGTGATCAATTATCCATGGTGTTTTCTAATAATAGTCTTTATTCTTAAATGTTTTGAAGGGCAAATTTTTGATTGATATAGGAAGCCCAAAAATATGGTCTGTGCAGGGTTTCATTATAAGTAATATTTCTGTAGAAAAGTTTCTTTCTATCGGTTCAAAAGATACAGAGCACACACGAAATTTAAATGTTACCTTGACCTGACAAAGGTCAAACCTGCGCTCTGCACATCGTCTCATTATGGTTATTAAACATTCTGCCAAGTGGTTTCACTTTTAAAGATACAGAGCGGACACGAATTATGTTAACTTATTTAAGATGTTTGGTTTTACATTTAAGGAATCTGTTTCGCTTAAGAAATTAGTATAGTAATTTTGGCAGACTGTCCTCGCAAACTGCGGCCTTGCATTTTAAACAGGAATAATATCTAGGGTAACAAGACAACTCACCCCCCAGACGATTCACCCCACAAAAAAGCAAGACAACTCACCCCTCAAGACAGTTCACCCCTCAAAATAGATAAGACAATTCACCCCTCATAAATGATAATCATGTTTATGGGTAGAAAGGATTAAAAAAGTCTGTATATTTCAAAGATTTAAGATAATTACCATATCTATCCATCTATCTAGATAATACAGACTTCCCGAAAGTTGAAAAAAACTGTCAGACATTCGGTCTGACAAACCATGAAAATCCGTCAGACCGAAACGAAATCTTTCGGACCAAATAAAATTGATCAAAATCAAAGAATAACGTGTGTTTGTATTTCTAAGACACTTTTTGTTTTTAATTTTTTCGCCGTAAAAATCGGCACATTCCTTACAGCGCATTTTCATCTCCTCCCTATCATACACCAACGATTCACTGTCTTGCTTCTAATTTTCATTATATTTTGTCTCAGGTCCTTCTTTTTATCCTTTTACTACTGTTCTGCGCGTTCCTCTGACGTAAATTTTTGATTTTTCCAAGGTTTGGCACCTTTAGCGACGCCATTTTGTATACTTGCGGCTTGGATAAAAGCCGGACAGTCGGACCGATCCGGAATAAAAACTCGTCGGACCTGATCAAAATTTATCGGACATGTCCGTCGGACCGACGTATTTCGGGAAGTCTGATAATAGTCACTTAACACCTAATTAGAGATAATTACGATCAAAGGAAGTGTGAAAGGGATTAAGGCCTATTGATAATCATTAATTAATTCCTTTCAAAATGAAAGGGATTAAAGAGCAAATGATTATCACATGTTAATATCTTTGATATGTCATCTTATAATAGCATCACTAGCACTTAAACAAATTAAGACAAATTTATGGTGAATTTGTAATTTTTATAGTTTGTATGTAAATAAAATGTAAAAATATAATCACATAGTAACAAATATTATTTTTTAAGTAAAAAATTATTATAATTAATTTAAATATGACTAATTTATAAATATCAATTTAGTAAAGAAACACAACAAATTTGTTAATTGCATCTTCTAATTTTAAGATAAATTTCATCAAAATTAAAGTTAAGAAAATGGGGGGTGAATTGTCTGTGTCAAAAATCCAATAATGTGGGATGAACTGTCTGGGGGGTGAGTTGTCTGGAAAAAATGGCTTAGGGTGAATCGTCTGGGGGGTGAGTTGTCTGTAAGCCATATCTAGCGTTGAAGCAGTTCTCATCTCCAACATTCAAGCACATATTGATATATAAACAAGTGGGTCGCAATTATACTTACTTACTTACTAACCTTACTTTACTGACTGACTGACTCACTGACTGACTCACTCACTCACTCACTGACTCACTCACTCACTCACTCACTCACTCACTCACTCACTCACTCACTCACTCACTCACTCACTCACTCACTCACTCACTCACTCACTCACTCACTCACTCACCAACTCACTCACTCACTCACTCACTCACATGCATCAAGCTCTTGTCTTGGCTTTATTAAAGCTTTGATGATGGTGACTTTCTCCTTGTATGATGGTGACTTTCTCCTTATATGATGGTGACTTTCTCCTTGTATGATGGTGACTTTCTCCTTATATGATGGTGACTTTCTCCTTGTATGATGGTGACTTTCTCCTTATATGATGGTGACTTTCTCCTTGTATGATGGTGACTTTCTCCTTACATGATGGTGACTTTCTCCTTATATGATGGTGACTTTCTCCTTGTATGATGGTGACTTTCTCCTTATATGATGGTGAGACTTTCTCCTTGTATGATGGTGACTTTCTCCTTATATGATGGTGACTTTCTTCAGTATGATGGTGACTTTCTCCTTGTATGATGGTGACTTTCTCCTTATATGATGGTGACTTTCTCCTTGTATGATGGTGACTTTCTCCTTGTATGATGGTGACTTTCTCCTTGTATGATGGTGACTTTCTCCTTGTATGATGGTGACTTTCTCCTTATATGATGGTGACTTTCTCCTTATATGATGGTGACTTTCTCCTTATATGATGGTGACTTTCTCCTTATATGATGGTGACTTTCTTCTTGTATGATGGTGACTTTCTCCTTGTATGATGGTGACTTTCTCCTTGTATGATGGTGACTTTCTCCTTATATGATGGTGACTTTCTCCTTATATGATGGTGACTTTCTCCTTATATGATGGTGACTTTCTCCTTGTATGATGGTGGCTTTCTCCTTGTATGATGGTGACTTTCTCCTTATATGATGGTGACTTTCTCCTTATATGATGGTGACTTTCTCCTTGTATGATGGTGACTTTCTCCTTATATGATGGTGACTTTCTCCTTATATGATGGTGACTTTCTCCTTGTATGATGGTGCATTTCTCCTTATATGATGGTGACTTTCTCCTTATATGATGGTGACTTTCTCCTTGTATGATGGTGACTTTCTCCTTGTATGATGGTGACTTTCTCCTTGTATGATGGTGACTTTCTCCTTATATGATGGTGACTTTCTCCTTGTATGATGGTGACTTTCTCCTTACATGATGGTGACTTTCTCCTTGTATGATGGTGACTTTCTCCTTGTATGATGGTGCATTTCTCCTTATATGATGGTGACTTTCTCCTTGTATGATGGTGACTTTCTCCTTGTATGATGGTGACTTTCTCCTTATATGATGGTGACTTTCTCCTTGTATGATGGTGACTTTCTCCTTGTATGATGGTGACTTTCTCCTTGTATGATGGTGACTTTCTCCTTATATGAGACTTGGACATCTGGTTGCTCTGACTGTCATATTACACTGTCGCAATTATCAGTCTGGAATGTTGCCATTTATAGAAATAGTTATACTTTATTTTAAAAAGAAAATGTGTTTTTGTTTCTTAAAAATGATATTTGGTTATAGTTTGAATTACATCTGAATAAAATTACCATGAATACCATAATCTTACTTGGCCTGGTAATTTCATGCAATATGAAGGTCAAGGGAAGTAATCGAAGTATACTGTACAGTTCTTTATCATGCTACAATACATTCCCTTTTTTCAAAATTTGCTCAATGCATAAGTAGAAAATTATCGCAGTGTTTTGTTTTATTTTCAGCAACATATAAACGAGTCAAACTCCAATTCATACTCCCTTTAAAACTGTATCAAAACAGCATTATATGTGAATTGAATAACTCTGACATGGCAATATGAATAATAATATCTGGAGCCTGAAGTATGTAATGCACTTTTAAAATCCTTTACATAACATCAACATTATAAAAACGTGACCTTGTTTAGACATTGAGTTGATTTTTTATCACAATAGATAAAAATCCAAACTCGTTCTCGAGTCTTCCGATCTTCGTCTTAAACGATATCCTTAATAGGCAGATATCTACAATTATAAAATTTACACATATTCCAGTAATAATAGTGTTTAAATCCTGCAAAGGGATTCATTTTGAGGGAAATGTTTTGAATTGAAACCTGATGATTCATATAATAAAGAATTACGGTCTGAATGCAAGTGTTGTGTTGCTTTTTTCAAAATTGTATATGATATATTGAATTAGTGTAATACAATTAAAATAAGGCTCAAAATTATAGTACCATAAAGTGTGTTCTTTTGAAGTGTTTTATGTATAAAATGTTTTATTGGATTAAGCATAATTAAGACTGAAAATGCTGAAAATAGTATTTATTCCTATTTCTGAATTGTATTTTTTTTTACTTTTCTTTGTTTTTCTTCATTCAATCATTTACTTTGTTTCCCAAAGTAAATTTACATAGAATCAAACAAATTTGTTAAGAATTGAAAGATTTTATAAGACTATTTCAGAAAATAATTTTAGTTTAAATTATGCTTATATGCTGCATTGACTATTAACATGAATTGCATATGGGGCAAAGTTGGTAGTTTACCCTAAGAATCACGGCAGTAAGCCACATTAAATTTACCAAAGCACAGTTCCGCCACCGCATCATTCCTGGGCAGGCTGTCAAGCAGTTTATCATCACTTTCGCAAGTAACTGATAACTTCTGCACGTGCCAGAACAGAGGAACAGTGCGAATGACAGTAGAAAGGATTTAATGATCAATCACTGCAACGTTTGGAAATCGGACCCAGGGCGCTGTATCATTAATTCTATTGAGCTAACCGGACGGTCTTGAGGTGTATATTCATATACTTTGTAAACTTATACCAAACGAGGAAAGAACTGGATACGTATAAGTCGGTTCATGGTTTTATTTCATCTACCCTAAAGTTTTGTTATTTGCAACATTAATCTTAATACATGTATATAAATGACAAATACAAAATCATACAAGATTTAGATTATAAATTGGCATGATTTACATGTACAAATAGACAATCATTATTATCATCAATGTATGTGTAACTAAGGAAATATGAAGGTCAAGGGAAATAATCGAAATAAAACTGTACAGTATTTTATTATGCTGCGATACATTCCCCTTTTTCAAAATTTACAAAATCATTTAATCGCATTTATTTATATATTTTATTATTTCATTTATTTATTGTTTCATTTTCAATTTTAAGCCTTCTCTGCATTACTACATTTATTGGAGTCAATCAGCATTTTCATATTTCCTTTAAACTCTATCAAAACACCTGAATTAAGGGGCTCCACTGCGATTTTCTTTTTGACGTGAAGCGACCGAAAATATTTTATCAAGATTTTTGTTTAACTAGATCAATACCTCATGTACAACATTTCAGATCATTCGCTCACTCTAATCAATTTTATTGTGCAAATTGGACTAATAAATGAAAATCGTTTCAACGTTTTTCATTCAAACTGGCCAAAAATCACATAAAATCGATTATAAATTGAATACCGTGCATATTTATATATCATCTATTGCTTGGTTTCAAATTTAAGTGTACCAATTTATTTAAGAATGAATTTCAAAATTTGATATTTTAGACTATTGGACCACAGTGGAGATCCTTTAACTAATGCATGACCAGTACTTTCAAAATCCTTAACTTACTTCTCAAAAGACATCAGTCAATGTTTAGATGTTGAGTGTAAAGTTGATCACCAAACTTCTAACCCCGTGTTAACAGTGATATAGGGATCAGGATCAAGATCATGAACAAAACTTCTACAAAAAATATCTACATTGTTTATTCTGATCGATTAAATATTCAATATCTATAAGTAAAAAGTGAACTTAAAATGACATATGTTAATGAAATTTTAGCACAAAATCATAAATGATTTACAAAATAATTATGCGCGTTGAAATATCAAAATATTGATCTTGATCCTAAAACTGATCCTTATTTTGATGCACTTATTATTGTTATTTGTTTTATGTATCCTAACTTATATCCTAATATGACCAATGTGTGTTTCAAACAACAAGGAAAAAAATACACAGGGCCTTGAGATAGATGTTAAGACAAACGTGTCGTCCATGTCGATGTCCCACTATGTCGATGTCCCACTATAATGATGTCCCACTATGTCGATGTCCCACTATGTCGATGTCCCAAGTAAAACAAAAAGTTAATTTCTATACGTTTTATTATGTTAAACATATATCGGTCTACAAATAAATGTATATAAATACAAAGATAAAATGTTTACAAAAAAGAATACTATTACGTTTGCAAATAAAAATCGGACTAAATACATATGAAAGACAGTTCTATCAACTTTGAAACTTTTTTTTAATACTCTCTTGTACTTGGGTCGGGTCAATATCCACCCGGTGCAATAGCTTTGAAAAGTAAAGTACAGAATAAAATTAAGAATTGATTCCACCTCAAACATGCAATCTTACATGAATGACATTATATTGTACTTTTAATGGTAATACTAGTATTTTTTAAACATGTAACGCATAAACAAGATGACTTTGGCACCTACAGTGTGTGTTGCAACATGCATACATACCAAATAAGTAGTTCTAAATAAAAACGAAATGCAATATATGATTAAAACTTTGACTCGAAACTACACCTTGCTTGAAAGGTTAAAGTTAAAATACTTGTAGATTCGCTCCTCCCAAAATCGGAAGTAGCATGTGCTTAATTGTTGTCGCAAGACAGGGTGCACATTGAACTGTATAGGCTTGCAAGGCAGGGGTTTCGTCTACGTATTTCTGAATTAGCGCAAGGTCATACATATAATAGAGCCTTCTTAATATAACTTCATGAATATTCATAATTGACAGCACCAAGTTGAAGTGGATCGAGTCTAAGATAATTTCACATGCAATTTTTTTTCTCATTTAACCTATGGTTATGTGTAAACTACATGCATAGCATGTAGATTTCATACTGATGCATAGTTATATAATTATTATGTATAAAAGATAAATGCTAAAGTATAATATATTTTTCGATGTGTCACATTCAAATTGAAAGAATATACTTGGTATATATATATAAGTCTTCTGACCGGATATTTCTTAAATGCTGAGAGAGTGTGATTAGCCACAGATTGCGCTTAGCATGTGACAGATTGCACAGTTCACAATACTGGTTACTTGAGATTATATGTATCTCATTGCAAAATCACGTAAAGCAATGAAATCTTTCAGTGTCTTTGGATATTTTAGACTATTGGACCACAGTGGAGTTCCTTTAAGTAATGCATGACCAGTCCTTAACTTACTTCTCAAAAGACATCAGTCAATGTTTAGATGTTGAGTGTAAAGTTGACCACCAAACTTCTTACCCCGTGTTAACAGTGATATAGGGATCAGGATCAAGATCAAGAACAAAACTTCTACAAAAAATATCTACATTGTTTATTCTGATCGATTAAATATTCAATATCTATAAGTAAAAAGTGAACTTAAAATGGCATATGTTAATGAAATTTTAGCACAAAATCATGAATGATTTACAAAATATGCGCGTTGAAATATCAAATATTGATCTTGATCCTAAAACTGATCCTTATTTTGATGCACTTATTATTGTTATTTGTTTTATTTATCCTAACTTATATCGTAATATGACCAATGTGTGTTTCAAACAACAAGGAAAAAATACACAGGGCATTGAGATAGGTGTTAAGACAAACGTGTCGTCTATGACGATGTCCCACTATATCGATGTCCCACTATGTCGATGTCCCACTATAATGATGTCCCACTATGTCGATGTCCCACTATGTCGATGTCCCAAGTAAAACAAAAAGTTAATTTCTATACGTTTTATTATGTTAAACATATATCGGTCTACAAATAAATGTATATAAATACAAAGATAAAATGTTTACAAAAAAGAATACTATTACGTTTGCAAATAAAAATCGGACTAAATACATATGAAAGACAGTTCTATCAACTTTGAAACTTTTTTTAATACTCTCTTGTACTTGGGTCGGGTCAATATCCACCCGGTGCAATATCTTTGAAAAGTTAAGTACAGAATAAAATTAAGAATTGATTCCACCTCAAGCATGCAATCTTACATGAATGACATTATATTGTACTTTTAATGGTAATACTAGTATTTTTTAAACATGTAATGCATAAACAAGATGACTTTGGCACCTACAGTATGTGTTGCAACATGCATACATACCAAATAAGTAGTTCTAAATAAAAACGAAATACAGTATATGATTAAAACTTTGACTCGAAACTACACCTTGCTTGAAAGGTTAAAGTTAAAATACTTGTAGATTCGCTCCTCCCAAAATCGGAAGTAGCATTTGCTTAATTGTTGTCGCAAGACAGGGTGCACATTGAACTGTATAGGCTTGCAAGGCAGGGGTTTCGTCTACGTATTTCTGAATTAGCGCAAGGTCATATATATAATTGAGCCATCTTAATGTAACTTCATGAATATTTATAATTGACAGCACCAAGTTGAACTGGATCGAGTCTAAGATAATTTCACATGCATTTTTTTTCTCATTTAACCTATGGTTATGTGTAAACTACATGCATAGCATGTAGATTTCATACTGATGCATAGTTATATAATTATTATGTATAAAAGATAAATGCTAAAGTATAATATATTTTTCGATGTGTCACATTCAAATTGAAAGAATATACTTGGTATATATATATAAGTCTTCTGACCGGATATTTCTTAAATGCTGAGAGAGTGTGATTAGCCACAGATTGCGCTTAGCATGTGACAGATTGCACAGTTCACAATACTGGTTACTTGAGATTATATGTATCTCATTGCAAAATCACGTAAAGCAATGAAATCTTTCAGTGTCTTTGGAAGAGGAAGTAACGGAATGCGTCCTAAAATAGACGTATCACGTGATGCGGTATTTATTCCTACGCGTATTGACTTCCGGCAAATCTCTTGCAGAGTAAGCGGTTGACTAGCCCTCTGGCGTAGAAACTTCAAAATTTCGATTTCTTGCCGCCCTCTGGTATCATATCCCGGAAAAGCTAACTTCAGAAATGAAAGAGAAAACGTTGGTATTCTTTTGGCACATAAATCGACTTCGTCGGGAGTGACTCTGTATCCAGCATGGATAAGCAGTTTGACCACGTAATTATCACATTTTGTAAATGCATCGACGAGAATGCTCCTTCCATATCCCTGAGACTCTGGCAACAAGCAGCCATGATAAATAAGTTTTCCGGCGATTCGGCTGTTATATACCGACATGGCAGCAGTTAACGGAGACCATTGACCGTCAGAATAGCTGAGTTGACAGCCATTGTCGATAAGTACACTGAGAATCGGTTCTAAACATAAATAGGAAGACCTATGAGCAATACGATAATAGAACACTGCGGTAAGAAACGGGGAAGCATTGCATTCAGCTATTGCATTAACGTCAGCGCCGTCTTTAATCAGCTTTCTCAAAACGTACTCATTGCCCATGCGCGCAGCTTCGTGTAATGGAGTCCATCCGGTTTTAGTTTTGGCGTTGACATCTGCGCCTAGATTACACAGCATGCATGCAACAGTTTCTAAATTTGTATGTATCGCTCTATGTAGAGGTGTACAGCCGTTTAAGTCCTGTGTTCGAAACTTACACGCATGCGCAATCATACATGCAGCAACGTTGCCATTGTGATGGTCACAAGCCACGTGTAATGGAGTGTGTTTCTTATTATCCAAAAGATTAATATCCCAACCTGCTTCCACTAAAGTATAAACCACCCTCATATATCCATATTCCGCAGCCCAATGAAGCGCAGAACGGTTGTTTTCATCAACATAATCCTTCGAAATATCATCGCCTAATAAAGTTTTAACTTTTGAATCTTTGCCAGCTTTTGCTGCTTCTAGTAGCAATTCATTACTGTCAAGTCCAGTGTTCTCCGCGAATCTGTCCTCGTGAGCTTCCTTAAACAATAACTTCTTCCTTTGAGACAACCTGTTGAGTCTAGCTTTGGTAAACAGAATTCGCTCTGAAAGACATAATCGTTTTGTCGGTCCTCGAGGTAAAACAGGCGTCGATCCACTAGCACCGCCCGAACAGCTTGGCATAGGATTGAAAGACGTCGAAGTGCTTGCTCGTACTTCCATCATATTTAAGTCCTTTTTAAATTTCAAAAGAACGGGTGTTAAGAAATATCCTTGTTTAACTCCGATGTGAGCACTTTAAGTGTATGCTTTTGTTGAACTTATATAACATAGAAGAGAAATATCTTTGTATAACTGCGAGGTTAACACTTTCAGTATGCTTTTTGGTGAACTTATATAGCATTGAAGAGAAATATCTTTGTATAACTCCGAGGTTAGCACTTTAAGTGTGCTTTTGGTGAACTTATACAGCGTGGAAGTGAAATCTCAAAATGTAAATATCTGCCCATTAGCGTCTCTGATAATGTTATTGATTAATTAACAGTCTAGACGGTTCCAGCATCATTTTCACTGAACAGATACCTATATACATGCCATTCAGAAAGTTCGGTGAAAGTAATCTAAATATTATTCCAATCTTTTTACACGACTTCTTATCACCCAGCGATGAAACTATTCAAGATTTTTTAATCCTAATCCCGCTGTTTTAGTTGATTTATATCTGACAGATTATAATTATCTTCATAAATGTATAGAAAGAATATAAACTTTCTCTGTATCTGTTTCCCTCGAACACGTGGAATTCTAAACACTAGGCATTTGTTTAATATACTCATAAAGCATTTCTCAAAACTCCGAGAGAAAAAAAACAGTTACAATATCAGTTATTTTTCCCTCGAAAACAGACCTATGAAATTAAATACTGTTTTAAAAAAATCAACGTGGTTCCAACTGTTTTGTAATATAATGTTTGTTCATAACAGAACATGGCACAATTCCATGTAATTTTGCGATTTCGTCTGGCTATCTGTGTAATCTCTCAATGCTGTTTTAAGATCGAAATAACTTCTAAAAAGTTGTGTTACTACGCAGTGAAAACTTCATGCTGCTTTCTTCTCAATGGTTATCTAAAAATAAAAAAGAGGAAAAAAAACTTTGTGAGAAAACGATATGCACAGATATATCCGGAAATTAAGATTTTGTGTTCTTTTTTTTTTTTTTTTTTGAATAAAAAACTAGCAAACAAACTCGCATGGATCCAGACCAGCCTTGCTCATCCGCGCAGTCTGATCAGGATCCATGCTGTTCGCTTACAAAGTCTATAACAAGTAGAGAAACTGATAGCGAACAGCATGGATCCTGATCAGACTGCGCGGATGCGCAGGCTGGTCTGGATCCATGCTGGTCGCAAACCCATTATGTTTGTTTTGTCGTAATGCGGTTCAAATTTAGAATACGGTGGGTTTAAATCTGCAATATATTGCAATACATACTGTCATTAATCATGGGAACTGGGAAATGAATTTTGAGATTTTTAAAGTGACCATTCTCTACTTTTTTATTTTTGTTTGTACTCCCGCTTGAGATTAAAAAGTTCCATCACTTATGATTTGTGGGAACTTGGTAATGATATTTTAATATTTTGTAAGCGTAGTCCAGTACCGCATGTAAATACTGAATTAAAGTAGGCAAATTGCATATCTAGTCTAACAAAAATATATAACCAATATTATGGGTAGCACCTGGTTATTTCGGTTATATTGAGAGCGGATATTTTATTTCAAAAATAAATTGCTCACAGCGAGAGGCATGTGGATAAAATTCATTCCGAATGTGTACTCAACATTTCGAGCATCGCTAAGGAGAAATCATCTAATTACATATATTCTACAGGTAGCTATGCTAAACATGTAGATTTTATCGATATATTCTGCATGTATAATGTGTTATCGCGATATATATCGCCGATGACATGATAAAACCGGTATGATAGGTGCTTAACACGGTTCGATAATTAGATTCCTGTTTTTCTCTAATCTTATTGAATAATTAGTGCGTGATAATACCAACGGTGGTGTATCTAAGAACCAAGTTATAAGAATGATTTTAAAGATAATTGATTGGAGGTTATTCTGAAATAAAGAAGAAGAAATACAGTTACAATAATAATAGAAATTTAAGTGTCTGTTTGTTGTCTTGCATAACTTCAGTGAATAAAGTACGGAAAACGTTCTCTGTAAAAACCTAGAGAAAGAAGAAGTTTATGAATTCCCTATTACATCTAGTTCGTGATTTCACAATTTTAATTCACGAAGTTGAAATCGTGATGTTCAAAAGTGCATTAATGAAATTGAATCCATGAAGTTGAAATCGTGAATTCATGAAGTTGAAATATTGCATTAATGAATTCCGTATGTTAATCGTGATTTTGTGAATTCGTGAAGATAAAGAATTCAAGTAGTTGAATTGTGACCACCGGTCGTAATTATTATCTCTACTTCAATGTATGAATTGAACTGCAGTCATTTATCATTTTAATTCACCCTCAAAAACGTTCTATAGAAAATAAAGGGTATTATGTATATTTTATTTTAAAACATTGCCTTAAATACTGGTATATTTAACAGAGTTTCTGTTAGCTGTAAAGAAATGCGTTATATAACATGATGTTTGTTTGTTTGTTTTTGGGTTTTACGTCACATCGACAAAGTATAGGTCATATCGCGACGTTCCAGCTTTACTGGTGGAGGAAGACCTCAGGTGCCCTTCCGTGCATTATTTCAGGCACGAACGGGCACCTGAGTAGAACCACCGACGTTCCGTAAGCTAGCTGGATAGCTTCCTCACATGAAAGAATCCAAAGTCCCTGTCGGAATTAGAACCCACAGCGGTGAGGGGCAAGTGGTTTGCAGTCAACGACCTTAACCACTCGGCCACGGACGCCCAAATACAACATGATGTGTAGATATGATACTTCGATTATATTAATTATATATGTGGTTTTTATGACATAAATTGTCAGTATAACTGTTACAAAGAGTCGTTGAACACCTGTCTTATTGACCACTGTGACATATTCATATTATAATTATGATAAGTTAAGTGTTGTAAGCAAATAAATAACCAACAGCATGATTGCAGCATTTTTCGGTGGAAGTAAGCAATTTTTTTTCGTTTTTCTAATTAAACGACCGAAATATACGACAGACTATTTAAGAAAGAAAGATACAATAGACCTATACTTAGTGTTTTATTTTAAAGCGCGCGGATTTTAATTCAAGAATTTTAGGTCCCATAATATTATATAAGCTTAATGCATGTTTGGTTGTTTTGTTGCAGTTTCGCGTTAACGCTGACTAGAAAAGTCCCTGGAGCATTTGAAATGCCGTCAAAATAAAGTATAATTTTTACCTTGGAAAGATAATCCGTATAGCATCACATATTATATCTTTTTTATATTATTTTCACCAATGTTTATGTTCTTAAGTTCCGAAATCATATGCTAACGTTCAAATTGTTGCATAGAATCTGCGCAGTGATTCCTTAAAAACAAAGAAGCTATACTATTACCGTAATATCTCAAAATTGAGAAAATAAGAAAATAATTACGCAGAAAGAATAAATGATTAAACGGCACGATCGTTTGGTTATCTGTCTATCTAAAACATGTCTAAATTAAAAATCCGTGTATTCCTTGCTTTTGTACACATACTTAAGAATATTATCATTTAATCAGTTCAAAATTGAGATCAATTTTTCCGCGTACATTACTTAGAAAGAAAAAAAAACTAATATACATGTACGTTTTGAATACAAAAAAAAGAAAGAGCAAATGTTTTGTTTTGTAATTATTATAGTTTATCAAATACTGATTCACGGTGACTATGCATTGGTGTTTTAACTAGTTTATTGTTTTAAACGAATTATTAAAAACAGTTTTATATGATTAGGGAATTCGAATAATTTCAGCTATATAGCGTAGTTTAATCCTAAGTCTACGGGCGGGAACGTAATATGCCATGTGACCAGTGCCGACCAATCAGCCAGCACATCCCTGTCGTCTGATCATGGTCTGTACTGCTTTGCTATTCATTCAGTACTTATTTTGAAATATCCCTAAAATGATGAATGGTTTTGTCCGGAATGAATGATGGACGAGTCCATTCAGGATATTAAGCGTGGGAAAATTTAAAGTAAAGTAGCAATTTAACTTCCTGTAATAATACACTTACTGAACTAACAATGATGAGTTTCGTTTGTATTTATTTATAGTTTTATAGTCCCGTGAAAATCCAGATGACTGTGTGTAAAGTACTTCCTTATTCATATTGAGGAAAAAAACTTCAACATGATACAGTAATTTAAGCTGTACATTTCCTTATATAAGAGATATCGATAAAGTTAGCCACTTTATAAATAACGGAACTATTTTTATTACGCTTAAGCTATGCCGTTTTACGCATACTATATATACATGTAATGTAGCATTTGAAAATAAAAATATATATTATTATTTTATATATGTATGTCAAATGTATCCATGTTTAAATTGTCATAGTCATAGTGGATAAACAAAATTACTGAACTATATCTTGCAATGAGTACTATTATTGTACATTTTTATTTATTTTTATTTATTATTATTTTTTTATTATTATTATTATTATTATTATTATTATTATTATTATTGCGGCTACAAGCATCTGCTATTTCCGGTCACTGTACTTTTCTTGGGAGCCGTTTTACCCTCTTTCAAAAACAAGATGTAGACTCATTTATCCACGGCGATCATGTGCGAACATTTTTATAGAATAACCTGATAAACTCTCATATAAAATTAAAATGCCTAAACAAGTGTACATTAAATGAGATTCTATGTGAACAAAATACAATAAAACATATAAACTCCTGTCATTTGAATTCATTTCATGAGCTTAAATAGCGAGCAGCCTCGGAATCTGTTGATATTTATTAATCCCGTATTTACACCCCACCCACTCGTTTTAGTATAATGATTTGACTATAAGTCTTTTATGGTAACTACGGTAACCGGCCAGGTAAAAGATAAGTAATGATTGCATATTCACACGAACCTAGGAGATTTTTACTATCTACCATGAAAATATTGGCATTAGTTTATAAGACATCTCTTGTTCCGTAAATATACCTTGGAAACATCTTCCTGTAATTTCTCAATGAGCTAATGCTGATAGTATAATGTTCCGGGGAAACAGTTATAAATATCGGCTGCTTGTACTTAGTTTAAAGGAACTCCGCTGAGATCTAAAAGAATTAACCTTAACATAAAATTTGAACTTCTTACATGGATCAGCTGGGGCACTTAAAACAGAAATACATTCAAAAGATAATTAAGAATACGAAATATACTCAGAAATAAATAGAAAATCGTAATTTTTGTGCTTTTCTTGGAACAAAATGCTTTGCAACGGTTTTCAATTTTGGTTCATTTTCACTCAAAATAATCATTCTGGAAAAACAGAGTGAGTTAATGATCAGAAAGTTTACAAGCAAGCTATTGATCTAGACCTACATCAAATTGAAAATCAATCTCGAAAAAATATTTCCAGTCCCGAAACGTCAATAAACTTTAGCGAAGTCCCTTTAAAAACACTTTTAAACAACAAAAACAAGACAAAAGAGTTTCTGGATTATTTCCGGTTACTGTTAAAGTGTCTGACAATATTGTATAGCAAAATGTGAAGCTCTTTGCACGTAGGTTATAATTAGGATATGAATGAAAACTAAATGTTTAAATGAAGGGACACCTAAAACCTTTTTTCCTCTGTAAATATTTAAAGGCACATTATGCATCGTTAATCCTTATTTTTTAATAGTTTAGAAATGTCAAACATGTGTTTAATTATGTTCTAATAAATGTTTTAGAACACGTCAGACCTGTGTTTTATGAGAGGAGGAAAAAGCGCTCAACGTGAAGTAATGTGTAATGTAAACTAAGAAGTACGAGTATTTTTACTTCCATACAAAGTAATAATAATAGTTTTTGTGAAGTAAAAGAAATAGCATTCCTAAAAATGATAATTGTATCCTGTTCTATTCTTTGTGAAAACGTGGCCAGGTGTACATTTCCCATAGTTTATGCTAAATAAACATTGTATATGATGTTAAAAGTGAACTTAAAGCTGCATGCCTCCAGATGAGCCAAAATATTCGAGAAAACCAATTTTGAGAAAAATGTACTGATATTGTAAGGTAAAAAAACCAATTCAAGATAGATGTAATAATTTCCATGTTATTTGCGGTAAATGACCGATTTTTACAGTATTTTTCACCGTATTTCTACTGATTAACTTAGGCAGTAGGGGCTATTTTTGCATATTTTCAACTCTTTTGGGTTGTAAGTGCTGTTTGCATGTATAATTTATTTTCTTTGTTCACTTTAAAACATTTTTTTTTCTTTTTCATACATCTTAAAAAATTCTCGAAAATAAGCATGAATCTGAAGGCGTTCTGCTTTAAATTGGCACAATATGGTGGGACAAAAAACGAAAATCGAAAAAAGAAGTTTATTTCTCTGTTAAGATCACTTTACGGATATGCAATGCAGTTGTGCCAAATAAAATACGGCTAAAAATAAAATAACAGGATGTTATTTTTTGTATTTCTTTTAATGGAAAAAATGAGGAAATCTTTTCCAAGTTTTATCAAAATTATAAGAAAAAAGACAACTGTAAATTTGAAACTTACATTAGTCCACCTATAGTTATAGTTTCTGAATCACCTCTGACTATTAAGTCCCTCCCTATCCTCAATCTATAAAGCGTTATCCACATTTAATAATTAACAAGCCCCAGCTAACTGGCCATACTCTATAAATCATATTGATTATATTTCGGCCAACAGAAAAGAAAAGGGGTTAAAGATTAATGCTTCTGACAATTTTTGTTTAGATTTTTAAAGAGAAACTGTAATTGAAGTTCATTATCTAACCGACTTCTGAATTAATGCCCTTTGTTACAGGTTTAAACCTATTGTTAACGTATCGACTATCGACGTAACGTGATGCCACACGGCGTAAGCTGGGCAATTCACTGTGAAAGTAATGAAAACTAGAGGTTAGACCAATAAAGCTGCACCATTGATATCCGTGGTGGTACTGTTTAATATTTCATAAGATAGCTAGTTGAATGACAGTTTGATCTGTCAGAGTTAATAGGCTGTTATAAAATATCCGATTTAACAACAATAATCTATACTCGCATGTACCTATTCACCCTTTTCAAGTTGGTTGCATTTATTTTCAGGCATTTTGTGCACTAGTGGGTCAAAATCGTATCGATTTGGTCAGGATAGCGTGTTTAAGTTGTATCGAGTTGGTATGCATATCATCGTTAGTATGAAATGATCATCCTAATCAAATATTATAAAATACAACAGATACAACACAACTGCTAAGGTTCAGAACTATTCATTGTTTAGGGAAGAAGATGTGTAAGCGGCCGGATAGCTCAGTCGTTAGAGCCGCGGAACGATATTCCGAGGATCCCTGGTTTAAGTCCCGGTCAGGTTCACATTTTTTCACTATATCGCCAAACAAACCACAGATACAAAAAAAACCGACAGATACAGCACATCCAATCACAGATCTAACATTATAAATCACAGATCCAACACAATCGCATATACAACATAATCAACCACAGATCAAATACAATCAATCTCAGCTACAACACAGCCAAACACATTAACAACACATTCAATTAGGTAAAATATTAATTAAAGAATATCTATTGATAAATGCATACTCTATTATAATTAACTAACCGTAGGAGCTGACGTTAAATGGGCCTTAATTATTGTTCCACATTTTTAAAAAGCTCTGTATATTTTTCTGAGAGCCACTTTTATTTCCTAGTAAATATAAAAAGCTCTGTATATTTTTCTGAGAGCCACTTTTAATTCCTAGTAAATATGAAACATTTAAAAATAATAGTATTTAAGAAAATTAAGCGTAAACTACTGTTGAGACATTTAATCAAAGTTCACAATCAACGGCAAAAATCACGAGGACAGCATTTCCCTTTTCTTAATTACATGCGACTGATGTCTATTTATTTTGTATTCATTAATTCATTGTTGTTGCTGTTGTTTGCGGTCATATTTGCGGCCGTTTGCGGTTGTTTCGTCTAATTTTGAAAATAAGCTTTTCATCTTTAGATACACCACAATTAAAGGCACATCATGAATATTGACATCGCGATATCCTTTGACATGTTGAGAATGACCACATCACAGGTTGATGTACCTTTATATCCGTTATTTACTGGCCATTGTCCCCCATATCATATTAAAGGTTTTAAATAAATCACCATTTTCCTTATTTTAATTTTGCATAGGTAGTGTTTAACTGTATAATGGCGATCGCTCGTTTTGTGATTCAAATGATAGCAAGAACAAAGAAAGTGTCGATGTCTTACTTATAAGCGTTCTGTTCACTATCATTACAAATGAAAGTAAAAATAAGTGTTCTGCGCATTAATTTAGTCCCCTAATGAACCCGATATTTTAGACCGACTCCAGGCCATTAAT